TAACTAAACCTTCAGTTCACCAACAGAACCAAGAGAAATTCATCTTTTTTTCCAGCTTTTATGGTCTCTACCCAGCATAGTTGGAAAAATTATTCAACTATTTACTGCAGTTAAATAAACGAAGATCAAAGGATTTCACTCAGTCGGATCTTTATTTTATATCTTTGTAAAGAGAGATCAGTTCATCATACGGACCTTATTGCACCGTAATCAGCCCTGTTCTGATCCAGCAGCGTTCGTTCCTCCTTACTGACAATAATGGAAAACAGTCAAAACTAATTACAGACACTTTGGTTAAACAGTAACATGAATAAACCTGAGAAAGAATCTGGTTGGTTATGGAGGAAGGAATGCCTGATCTACAAATATTCTCACTCAGGGGCAAAAATTCTCACCTGAATTCAAGTCAGTGGAAAATGTTAAATGATTATAATAGATGGAAAAATCATGGAAAAGATTAAGATAGCTAAAATATGTTGAAATAAATGGAGCCCTGGGAAGAGAAAAGGTCAAATCAGAGACTAAATGATTAACCTGAACTCCTAAATAAAACAAACCTAATTATGAGTAAAAAAGATCAATCTCTGTGCAAAATGTTAAAATCATAACATAAAGATGTTTCAGACAGATTCAGTTCAGTTCTTCAGAATCAGGGTCAGTCAAAGCGCTCACCTGACCAGGTGGAGGTTTAATCCCAGCGCTTCCCCAAGGGCAGCTGAGACCCGATCATCAGAGTTCATTCTCTGATCCACAAATACTGACGATACTGACCATCAGCCATCAGCTGCTCCTGCCAACCACAACTAACGGTGCGGCGCCCGGGGAGCAGCGGGCCGCCACGGTGCGGCGCCCGGGGAGCAGCGGGCCGCCACGGTGCGGCGCCCGGGGAGCAGCGGGCCGCCACGGTGCGGCGCCCGGGGAGCAGCGGGCCCCCATGATTGGTTCATCTGGTTCTGATCTGATTGGTTCATCTGATTCTGATCCGATTGGTTCATCTGGTTCTGACCTGATTGGTTTATCTGGTTCTGACCCATGATTGGTTTATCTGGTTCTGAACTGATTGGTTCATCTGGTTCTGACCTGATTGGTTCATCTGGTTCTGATCCGATTGGTTCATCTGGTTCTGATCCGATTGGTTCATCTGGTTCTGATCTGATTGGTTCATCTGGTTCTGACCCATGATTGGTTCATCTGGTTCTGACCCATGATTGGTTCATCTGGTTCTGACCTGATTGGTTCATCTGGTTCTGATCCGATTGGTTCATCTGGTTCTGACCTGATTGGTTCATCTGGTTCTGATCCGATTGGTTCATCTGGTTCTGACCCATGATTGGTTCATCTGGTTCTGACCTGACTGGTTCATCTGTTTCTGACCCATGATTGGTTTATCTGGTTCTGACCTGATTGGTTCATCTGGTTCTGATCCGATTGGTTCATCTGGTTCTGACCCATGATTGGTCCATCTGGTTCTGAACTGACTGGTTTATCTGGTTCTGATCTGATTGGTTCATCTGGTTCTGAACTGACTGGTTTATCTGGTTCTGACCTGATTGGTCCATCTGGTTCTGACCTGACTGGTTCATCTGTTTCTGACTCATGATTGGTTCATCTGGTTCTGATCTGATTGGTCCATCTGGTTCTGAACTGACTGGTTTATCTTGTTCTGATCTGATTGGTTCATCTGGTTCTGACCTGATTGGTTCATCTGTTTCTGACTCATGATTGGTTCATCTGGTTCTGATCTGATTGGTTTATCTGGTTCTGACCTGACTGGTTCATCTGTTTCTGACTCATGATTGGTTCATCTGGTTCTGATCTGATTGGTTTATCTGGTTCTGACCTGATTGGTTTATCTGGTTCTGACCTGATTGGTTTATCTGGTTCTGACCTGACTGGTTCATCTGGTTCTGATCTGATTGGTTTATCTGGTTCTGACCTGACTGGTTCATCTGGTTCTGATCTGATTGGTTCATCTGGTTCTGATCTGATTGGTTTATCTGGTTCTGACCTGATTGGTTTATCTGGTTCTGACCTGACTGGTTCATCTGTTTCTGACTCATGATTGGTTCATCTGGTTCTGATCTGATTGGTCCATCTGGTTCTGAACTGACTGGTTTATCTGGTTCTGATCTGATTGGTTTATCTGGTTCTGACCTGATTGGTTTATCTGGTTCTGACCTGACTGGTTCATCTGTTCCTGACTCATGATTGGTTTATCTGGTTCTGACCTGATTGGTTTATATGGTTCTGACCTGATTGGTCCATCTGGTTCTGATCTGATTGGTCCATCTGGTTCTGACCCATGATTGGTCCATCTGGTTCTGAACTGACTGGTTTATCTGGTTCTGATCTGATTGGTTCATCTGGTTCTGACCTGATTGGTTTATCTGGTTCTGACCTGATTGGTCCATCTGGTTCTGATCTGATTGGTCCATCTGGTTCTGATCTGATTGGTTCATCTGGTTCTGACCTGACTGGTTCATCTGTTTCTGACTCATGATTGGTCCATCTGGTTCTGAACTGACTGGTTTATCTTGTTCTGATCTGATTGGTTCATCTGGTTCTGACCTGATTGGTTTATCTGGTTCTGACCTGATTGGTCCATCTGGTTCTGACCTGACTGGTTCATCTGTTTCTGACTCATGATTGGTTCATCTGGTTCTGATCTGATTGGTCCATCTGGTTCTGAACTGACTGGTTTATCTGGTTCTGATCTGATTGGTCCATCTGGTTCTGAACTGACTGGTTTATCTGGTTCTGATCTGATTGGTTCATCTGGTTCTGACCTGATTGGTTTATCTGGTTCTGACCTGACTGGTTCATCTGTTTCTGACTCATGATTGGTCCATCTGGTTCTGAACTGACTGGTTTATCTGTTTCTGACTCATGATTGGTTCATCTGGTTCTGACCTGACTGGTTCATCTGTTTCTGACTCATGATTGGTTCATCTGGTTCTGACCTGACTGGTTCATCTGTTTCTGACTCATGATTGGTTCATCTGGTTCTGACCCATGATTGGTCCATCTGGTTCTGATCTGATTGGTTTATCTGGTTCTGATCCGATTGGTTTATCTGGTTCTGACCTGATTGGTCCATCTGGTTCTGACCTGACTGGTTCATCTGTTTCTGACTCATGATTGGTTTATCTGGTTCTGATCCGATTGGTTTATCTGGTTCTGACCTGATTGGTCCATCTGGTTCTGACCTGACTGGTTCATCTGTTTCTGACTCATGATTGGTTTATCTGGTTCTGACCCATGATTGGTCCATCTGGTTCTGATCTGATTGGTTCATCTGGTTCTGACCCATGATTGGTCCATCTGGTTCTGATCTGATTGGTTCATCTGGTTCTGACCCATGATTGGTCCATCTGGTTCTGACCTGACTGGTTCATCTGTTTCTGACTCATGATTGGTTTATCTGGTTCTGACCTGATTGGTTTATATGGTTCTGACCTGATTGGTCCATCTGGTTCTGATCTGATTGGTCCATCTGGTTCTGACCCATGATTGGTCCATCTGGTTCTGAACTGACTGGTTTATCTGGTTCTGATCTGATTGGTTCATCGGGTTCTGACCTGATTGGTTTATCTGGTTCTGACCTGATTGGTCCATCTGGTTCTGATCTGATTGGTTCATCTGGTTCTGACCTGACTGGTTCATCTGTTTCTGACTCATGATTGGTCCATCTGGTTCTGAACTGACTGGTTTATCTTGTTCTGATCTGATTGGTTCATCTGGTTCTGACCTGATTGGTTTATCTGGTTCTGACCTGATTGGTCCATCTGGTTCTGACCTGACTGGTTCATCTGTTTCTGACTCATGATTGGTTCATCTGGTTCTGATCTGATTGGTCCATCTGGTTCTGAACTGACTGGTTTATCTGGTTCTGATCTGATTGGTCCATCTGGTTCTGAACTGACTGGTTTATCTGGTTCTGATCTGATTGGTTCATCTGGTTCTGACCTGATTGGTTTATCTGGTTCTGACCTGACTGGTTCATCTGTTTCTGACTCATGATTGGTCCATCTGGTTCTGAACTGACTGGTTTATCTGTTTCTGACTCATGATTGGTTCATCTGGTTCTGACCTGACTGGTTCATCTGTTTCTGACTCATGATTGGTTCATCTGGTTCTGACCTGACTGGTTCATCTGTTTCTGACTCATGATTGGTTCATCTGGTTCTGACCCATGATTGGTCCATCTGGTTCTGATCTGATTGGTTTATCTGGTTCTGATCCGATTGGTTTATCTGGTTCTGACCTGATTGGTCCATCTGGTTCTGACCTGACTGGTTCATCTGTTTCTGACTCATGATTGGTTTATCTGGTTCTGATCCGATTGGTTTATCTGGTTCTGACCTGATTGGTCCATCTGGTTCTGACCTGACTGGTTCATCTGTTTCTGACTCATGATTGGTTTATCTGGTTCTGACCCATGATTGGTCCATCTGGTTCTGACCTGACTGGTTCATCTGTTTCTGACTCATGATTGGTTCATCTGGTTCTGACCCATGATTGGTCCATCTGGTTCTGATCCGATTGGTTTATCTGGTTCTGACCTGATTGGTCCATCTGGTTCTGACCTGACTGGTTCATCTGTTTCTGACTCATGATTGGTTTATCTGGTTCTGATCCGATTGGTTTATCTGGTTCTGACCTGATTGGTCCATCTGGTTCTGATCTGATTGGTTCATCTGGTTCTGACCCATGATTGGTCCATCTGGTTCTGATCTGATTGGTTCATCTGGTTCTGACCCATGATTGGTCCATCTGGTTCTGACCTGACTGGTTCATCTGTTTCTGACTCATGATTGGTTTATCTGGTTCTGACCCATGATTGGTCCATCTGGTTCTGATCTGATTGGTTTATCTGGTTCTGACCCATGATTGGTTCATCTGGTTCTGATCTGATTGGTTCATCTGGTTCTGATCTGATTGGTTCATCTGGTTCTGACCCATGATTGGTCCATCTGGTTCTGATCCGGTTCCTCCTTTGCAGGGTAAGGTTGGAGCCTCCCGAGGCGGCCATGTTGGATGTGTTGGTCAGGGTTGTGGTGTTGACTCATCTTCACCCGTCGCCTCACTGCAGCTCTCTGCCAACTTAACTGTTTCTCCTCCTCAGGTGAGAAAATCCTTGATTAGATCAGGATTAGCAGGAAGGTTTGGAAATAAAACATTCAGCCGGTTTCTGTTCTTTCTGCAGGTACTGGTACCTTTGGAAAATGTTCGTGGCACATCTGGAGCCGCTCACCTGGAGCTCACCTCACCTGCTGTGCTGGTTGCTGGCCTGCGTCTGGCTCCTGGCTCCGCCCACAGGTAAACGTGAAATCCTCAGCTGGCTTGAAGGAGACTCAGGTTCTGTTCGTTAGCTTCTCTGATGGTTCCGCTCTCCTTCCTGCTCCAGGTGTGTCAGCTGACCTGTGCCGCGTCACCGGCGGCGTTCTGGGGATCCACTGGACCAGCACCCTGGGCCTGGGCTGGTACCCGCTGGCGTCCGGCAGAGGCGGCGCCACCTGCTGGGAGATGTGCTGCTTGGAGCCCAGGTGTGACGCCGTGTGGAGCATCGGGGGACGCTGCGTGCTCCTCAGCTGCTCCAAGAAGGACGGCTGCAGCATCTCGTCTCTGCCGCAGCCCCACGAGGAGTCGCTGGGCCTCCTGCAGCTGCTCTCCAAGGTGAGCATCACACCTGCGTCTGGGAAGGTTTTAAATTTGTTCTGGAGGAATGAATCCTGTCTCCATGTTCTCCTGAAGGGACCGGTCCGAATGAAGCGCAGGAAGCCTCGCCACGCCCTCCGTGGACGGCTGAGGAGAGCGCACCTCAGCAGCACGGTAACGCCACACCTGCAGCCTTTCCTTTCATGCATGTGATGATCCTCCTGAAGGGATCAACCATCTCTGAAGGCCTCTCAGGCCTTGGTCCTTCTGTAGATCCTTCTAGAAACTTGGCTCAGAGATGCTTGTTCTGTGTGTTTTATGCAGGGAAGCCCCGGCGCCGTTCAGCTTGCTCCCACAGCTCTCAGCCGCATCACGGTCCCACAGACGGCCCAGCAGAACCTCCGCCTGTCAGCCAATGGGAGCTCAGATGGAGTTCTGGTTCCGCCTCTGCAGAACTCCACCGTCCACGGCACCATTAATCCCACCACGTCTTCCAATATCACCGATGGGAGCTCTCTGACTCCGGCAGGTGAGTGACCACAGCCTGACCAATCACAGAGCGGGAGGCGGTGCTTCTCTGCATTAGAACTGATCAGCTGTTAAAGCTTCTAAAACCGCTGCACATCCTCAGCTCTCTGATTGGCTCTAAAGGTTTCCCCTTTAAAATGGACACCGCGTAGGTGAGTCTGGCAGGGATCACATGTCCCTGGAGGGGGAAGTGTCCTGATGTGTCTTCAGAACTGAGGGGGACGTGGACCTTGTCCTCCTGCAGCAGATCAGATGCTGTTTTTCCCACATCTGACAGCTGGAATGTGCTGAGCGGCTCCGCTCTCTGCAAACAGGAATAACTGGTGTTATCAGTTCCTGCTGGCCAGAGCAAATATGTGGAAACAGAACGAGAGTCTGGAAGGAGCAGCTTGGTCTGAGGATCAGCAGAGGAACACCTGTTACCTTCCCAGGGGGCGGAGCCACCTCCTATCTACCTGCCTTTGTATAGAAACCTGCTTCTGTCTGCAGAATGAACCTGGAATACCTGCTGGTCAGCAACCGGCAGGAGGTCAGAGGTCACCTCTGGAACCAGCAGGAGGTCAGAGGTCACCGGCAGGAGGTCGGAGGTCTCCTCTGGAACCTTTGTTCCTCTGGACCATTTAAAGTTGTTATGGGTCACAGGAAGTTGGTTTCCGGTTATTCTGATTCGTTCTTTCTAAGATCGCATCCTTTTATTGAGGATTTCACTCTGATGTTCCTCAGAAGGTTGATGACTCTGACCTGGAGCCCTCATCCTTCTGTTTCCCTCTGCTGGAAGGCGTCCAGGTTTCTGACCAATCATGGTTCAGAGGGACGCATCGCTCTAAAGTTGGCTCTGTGAAGCTGAATGTCTGAGAGCGATCATCGGGCCGATGGCGGTCCGTTGGCGAATGGTTGGGGTTCCAGCTCTGTCAGTGCGCCGTGAAGCTGAATGTCTGAGAGCGATCATCGGGCCGATGGCGGTCCGCGGGCGAATGGTTGGGTTCCAGCTCTGTCAGCGCGGCGTGAAGCTGAATGTTTCATCTCCACAGTCAAGGAGCTGGTGGTGTCGGCAGGAGAGAGCGTGGAGGTGACGCTGCCGCGCAGTGAGGTGGAGCTCAACGCCTTCGTGGTCCCCCCTCCCCCCTCAGGTAATAACCCCCAGCTGCAGCTTCATCAGTCAGCAGGTGGAGATCTGACAGGTTCTGCTTGTTCTCTGCAGGAAGCAGCTATGCATTCGAATGGCGTCTGAAAACTCACCCCAAAGATTACAGCGGAGAGATGGAGGGCAAGAAGGACAGGACGCTGAAGCTCAGCAAGGTGCACGCCCAGCTCCTGCTGGTTCTGCCTGATCTAGATCTATCTGATCTGGTTCTGCCTGATCTGGTTCTGCCTGATCTGGTTCTGCCTGATCTGGTTCCGTCTGATCTGGTTCTGTCTGATCTAGTTCTATCTGATCTGGTTCTGCCTGATCTGGTTCTGTCTGATCTAGTTCTATCTGATCTAGTTCTGCCTGATCTAGTTCTATCTGATCTAGTTCTATCTGATCTAGATCTGTCTGATCTGGTTCTGCCTGATCTAGATCTGTCTGATCTGGTTCTGCCTGATCTAGATCTGTCTGATCTGGTTCTATTTGATCTAGTTCTGTCTGATCTAGTTCTGTCTGATCTGGTTCTGCCTGATCTAGATCTGTCTGATCTGGTTCTATTTGATCTAGTTCTGTCTGATCTAGTTCTGTCTGATCTAGTTCTGTCTGATCTGGTTCTGTCTGATCTAGATCTGTCTGATCTGGTTCTATTTGATCTAGTTCTGTCTGATCTGGTTCTGCCTGATCTAGATCTGTCTGATCTGGTTCTATTTGATCTAGTTCTGTCTGATCTGGTTCTGCCTGATCTAGATCTGTCTGATCTGGTTCTATTTGATCTAGTTCTGTCTGATCTGGTTCTGCCTGATCAAGATCTGTTTGATCTAGTTCTGTATGATCTGGTTCCGTCTGATCTGGTTCTGCCTGATCTAGATCTGTCTGATCTGGTTCTATTTGATCTAGTTCTGTCTGATCTGGTTCTGCCTGATCTAGATCTGTTTGATCTGGTTCTGCCTGATCTGGTTCTGCCTGATCTGGTTCTGTCTGATCTAGATCTGTCTGATCTAGTTCTGCCTGATCTAGTTCTGTCTGATCTACTTCTGTCTGATCTAGTTCTGTCTGATCTAGCTCTGTCTGATCTAGCTCTGTCTGATCTAGTTCTGCCTGATCTAGTTCTGCCTGATCTAGTTCTGTCTGATCTAGTTCTGTCTGATCTAGTTCTGTCTGATCTAGTTCTGCCTGATCTAGTTCTGCCTGATCTACTTCTGTCTGATCTACTTCTGTCTGATCTAGCTCTGTCTGATCTAGCTCTGTCTGATCTAGTTCTGTCTGATCTAGTTCTGCCTGATCTAGTTCTGTCTGATCTACTTCTGTCTGATCTAGCTCTGTCTGATCTAGCTCTGTCTGATCTGGTTCTGTCTGATCTAGTTCTGCCTGATCTAGATCTGCCTGATCTAGATCTGCCTGATCTAGCTCTGTCTGATCTAGTTCTGTCTGATCTAGTTCTGCCTGATCTAGTTCTGTCTGATCTACTTCTGTCTGATCTAGCTCTGTCTGATCTAGCTCTGTCTGATCTGGTTCTGTCTGATCTAGCTCTGTCTGATCTAGCTCTGTCTGATCTAGTTCTGTCTGATCTAGATCTGTCTGATCTAGATCTGCCTGATCTAGTTCTGTCTGATCTAGCTCTGTCTGATCTAGCTCTGTCTGATCTAGTTCTGCCTGATCTAGATCTGCCTGATCTAGATCTGCCTGATCTAGCTCTGTCTGATCTAGTTCTGTCTGATCTAGTTCTGCCTGATCTAGTTCTGTCTGATCTACTTCTGTCTGATCTAGCTCTGTCTGATCTAGCTCTGTCTGATCTGGTTCTGTCTGATCTAGCTCTGTCTGATCTAGCTCTGTCTGATCTAGTTCTGTCTGATCTAGATCTGTCTGATCTAGTTCTGCCTGGTCTAGTTCTGCCTGATCTAGATCTGTCTGATCTAGTTCTGCCTGATCTAGTTCTGCCTGATCTAGTTCTGTCTGATCTAGATCTGTCTGATCTAGCTCTGTCTGATCTAGTTCTGTCTGATCTAGTTCTGCCTGATCTAGTTCTGTCTGATCTACTTCTGTCTGATCTAGCTCTGTCTGATCTAGTTCTGTCTGATCTAGATCTGTCTGATCTAGCTCTGTCTGATCTAGCTCTGTCTGATCTGGTTCTGTCTGATCTAGCTCTGTCTGATCTAGTTCTGTCTGATCTAGTTCTGTCTGATCTAGTTCTGCCTGATCTAGTTCTGCCTGATCTAGTTCTGTCTGATCTAGTTCTGCTTGATCTAGTTCTGTCTGATCTAGTTCTGTCTGATCTAGATCTGCCTGATCTAGATCTGCCTGATCTAGTTCTGTCTGATCTAGCTCTGTCTGATCTAGCTCTGTCTGATCTAGTTCTGCCTGATCTAGATCTGCCTGATCTAGATCTGCCTGATCTAGCTCTGTCTGATCTAGTTCTGTCTGATCTAGTTCTGTCTGATCTACTTCTGTCTGATCTAGCTCTGTCTGATCTAGCTCTGTCTGATCTAGCTCTGTCTGATCTAGCTCTGTCTGATCTAGATCTGTCTGATCTAGTTCTGCCTGGTCTAGTTCTGCCTGATCTAGTTCTGCCTGATCTAGATCTGTCTGATCTAGTTCTGCCTGATCTAGTTCTGCCTGATCTAGATCTGCCTGATCTAGATCTGCCTGATCTAGTTCTGTCTGATCTAGTTCTGCTTGATCTAGTTCTGTCTGATCTAGTTCTGTCTGATCTAGATCTGTCTGATCTAGATCTGTCTGATCTAGCTCTGTCTGATCTAGCTCTGTCTGATCTGGTTCTGTCTGATCTAGCTCTGTCTGATCTAGCTCTGTCTGATCTAGTTCTGTCTGATCTAGATCTGTCTGATCTAGCTCTGTCTGATCTAGTTCTGTCTGATCTAGTTCTGCCTGATCTAGTTCTGTCTGATCTACTTCTGTCTGATCTACTTCTGTCTGATCTAGCTCTGTCTGATCTGGTTCTGTCTGATCTAGCTCTGTCTGATCTAGCTCTGTCTGATCTAGTTCTGTCTGATCTAGATCTGTCTGATCTAGTTCTGCCTGGTCTAGTTCTGCCTGGTCTAGTTCTGCCTGATCTAGATCTGTCTGATCTAGTTCTGCCTGATCTAGTTCTGCCTGATCTAGATCTGCCTGATCTAGATCTGCCTGATCTAGTTCTGTCTGATCTAGTTCTGTCTGATCTAGTTCTGCTTGATCTAGTTCTGTCTGATCTAGTTCTGTCTGATCTAGATCTGTCTGATCTAGATCTGTCTGATCTAGCTCTGTCTGATCTAGCTCTGTCTGATCTGGTTCTGTCTGATCTAGCTCTGTCTGATCTAGCTCTGTCTGATCTAGTTCTGTCTGATCTAGATCTGTCTGATCTAGTTCTGTCTGATCTAGTTCTGTCTGATCTAGATCTGTCTGATCTAGCTCTGTCTGATCTAGCTCTGTCTGATCTGGTTCTGTCTGATCTAGCTCTGTCTGATCTAGCTCTGTCTGATCTAGTTCTGTCTGATCTAGCTCTGTCTGATCTAGTTCTGCCTGATCTAGTTCTGCCTGATCTAGATCTGCCTGATCTAGATCTGCCTGATCTAGTTCTGTCTGATCTAGTTCTGTCTGATCTAGTTCTGTCTGATCTAGTTCTGCTTGATCTAGTTCTGTCTGATCTAGATCTGCCTGATCTAGATCTGCCTGATCTAGATCTGCCTGATCTAGTTCTGTCTGATCTAGCTCTGTCTGATCTAGCTCTGTCTGATCTACTTCTGTCTGATCTAGCTCTGTCTGATCTAGTTCTGCCTGATCTAGATCTGCCTGATCTAGTTCTGTCTGATCTAGTTCTGTCTGATCTGGTTCTGTCTGATCTGGTTCTGTCTGATCTGGTTCTGTCTGATCTAGCTCTGTCTGATCTAGCTCTGTCTGATCTAGCTCTGTCTTATCTGGTTCTGTCTGATGTAGCTCTGTCTTATCTGGTTCTGTCTGATCTAGTTCTGTCTGATCTAGCTCTGTCTGATCTAGTTCTGTCTGATCTAGCTCTGTCTGATCTAGCTCTGTCTGATCTAGCTCTGTCTGATCTAGCTCTGTCTGATCTGGTTCTGTCTGATCTGGTTCTGTCTGATCTAGCTCTGTCTGATCTAGCTCTGTCTGATCTAGTTCTGTCTGATCTGGTTCTGTCTGATCTAGTTCTATCTCACCCCTGGCTCTGTCTCCTGCAGCTGACGGTGGGCCTGTATGAGTTCGAGGTGACGGTGGAGGGAGAAGGAGCCCGTGGGCGGGGCTACGTCAACGTCACTGTCAGACCAGGTGAGAGCAGGAGCAGGATGGTTCTGATCCGGTTCTTCTGCTCTGTGAAGAACCTGAAGCCTCTCAGGCGGCTGAGGCCTTCAGCTGCTGCTTAATCTCCTCTTCCTGTTAAAGAGGCTGCCTGCAGGCTGACTGCTAATCTGTGATCAGGCATTTGGTCCTGATGTCATTGCGAGGGCCGGTCCTCCTTAAATCATAGCGGCTCCAACACTAATACTCCTGCTGAAGCTCCTTCCTGTGACAGTAAATACCTGAAGGAGGTGCAGCAGTGATCCGATGTTCCCTCCCTAAATGATGCATGCAGCATATCTATCACGCTCATCCTGGTGACGGTCAGAATATGGAGTCATTTTCTATTTCTTCAAACCAAATCAGAAGCTGTTGGGCTATCGGTTGATTCTGGGACATCTATTCCCAGAGCTTTATTGGCCAAACAAGAAACAAACATGGCCTGCAGGGGGCGCACCACTCCTACCAACCTCTTTGCAGAGAAGTTTTTTAAAGGAAACTCAATCAGTTGTGCTCCTCAAACAGATCAGCAGAACATGTGGTGGTGAGTCACGTTCTGACTGGACCTCCTAACGCCTCGTTTTCCGCCTGACAGAGCCGCGGGTAAACAAGCCTCCCGTTGCCGTGGTTTCCCCCAAGTTCGAGGAGCTGTTCCTGCCGACCAGCTCCACGGTGATCGACGGCAGCCGTGAGTTGTTGCTACACGACACAAACATGATCGCTGCAGACGGAGACCCTGACCTTCCTCCTCTTCCTCTGTCAGGGAGCACCGACGACGACAAGGTGGTGATGTGGCACTGGGAGGAGGTCAAAGGTCCCCTAAGGGAGGAGAAGGTCTCAGCCGACACCCCCATCCTCACCCTCACCGGCCTGGTTCCAGGAAACTATACCTTCAGGTACAGAACCAGACCAGAACCAGAACCAGTTTCCTCTGAGGTCAAACTCTCTAATTGTGTCCTAACGGTTCTGACTGAAAACCCGTTCTTATTGTCATTAGACTGAAACTGTAACTCCAGCGGATGTTCATATGGCCCAGCGTTGATTATAATCTGCCTTTCTTCCAGTCCGTCTCTAAGCTCGGTCTGAGGAGTCAATCAAAGGCGGCGATGCTGGATCAGAGCGTTTTACTGAGAAAAGGTGAAAATAATTTTTTTCTTCTGCAGTCTGACGGTGACGGACTCTGATGGAGCCACAGACACCACGCAGGCGTCGCTCTCTGTGAACAAAGCTAAGGACTACCGGCCAGTGGCCAACGCCGGCCCTAACCAGGTCACAAACCTTCTCCCTCCCGTTTGTTCAGGATCAGACCACAGGAGGAACCAAAACCGAACCAAAAGCCGCTTTCCTTCTGCTCCTTCCAGGTCCTCCAGCTGCCAAGGAACTCCATCACTCTGTACGGGAACCAGAGCACCGACGACCACGACGACCTGTCCTACGAGTGGTCTCTGAGCCCAGAGAGCAAGGACAAGGTGGTGGAGATGCAGGTGAGGCTCTGCAGCGGCGTGGGCGTCTCTGTGGGGCCAAGCAGCCGGCCTCATTGTGTTCTGATGTTGTTCAGGGCGTTCGGACCCCCATCCTGCAGCTGTCCGCCATGCAGGAGGGAGACTACACCTTCCAGCTGACAGTGACTGACTCTGCAGGACAGCAGGACACGTCCAAGGTCACCGTCATCGTCCAGCCAGGTCAGAACCACCTGGCTGTGACCTGAATGGGTCATTAGGATGTTACCATGAGCCAGAAACACGTTTACAGGGTTTAATCAGAGCTGGAAGGTTCTGTGATCTGGAATGTTCTGTTGGTTTCTCCTGCAGAGAACAACAAGCCGCCGGTAGCGGACGCCGGGCCGGAGAAGGAGCTAACGCTGCCTGTAGACAGAACCACGCTGGACGGCAGTAAGAGCAGCGACGACCAGAAGATCGCCACCTACCACTGGGCCAAGACCAGGTCAGGTGTCCGGGTTCCTGCTGGAGACCTGGATGAAGCTCTGAAAAATGGACCTGTTCTGGGTCTGCCCTGACCTCTGACCCTCTCTCCTTCCAGTGGTCCTGATGGGGTGAAAATAGAAAATGCAGACGGCGCCATTGCCACGGTGACGGGCCTGGAGGTCGGCACGTACAAGTTCACACTGACCGTAACGGACGAGAGGAAGCTGGAGAGCAGCGACACGGTGACCGTCATCGTCAGAGAAGGTCTGTGATGTCATGAGGTCCTAATGAGGGTTCCTTTAAAGCCGCCTTTGGTGTGACCTTTGACCCCAGTTTTAGCTGCGCTGTTTAAGGATTATTTTCTTTTTATGTGATTTTTCTTATTTTTTTTCACACCGACTCCTGATCTCATAAATTGTAATTTTTAGAATGATTTGATAATAAATGTTAGTTTGTCTAAATTAACGATCACTTCCAATCAATAAAGAGTTAATGCTGCTTTAAAGTCAGTTTTATTGCAAATCTTCTTATTCTTTCTTTGCTACTGACACAAAAACACCTTTTAACTAAAATAGAACATAAACTAAAGTGAGATGTTGTCATGACTACAAAACAAAATAAAAATATCTAAATGCGTATAAACGTTCCTCGCTGACTGAGCCTTCGTTTGAGGTAGAAATTAGTAATAAAGAACTTCTTAAACTTAGATTTCTTTTGTAGAACTTTTTGCAAATGTCCTGCCTTCATGCTGTGGATCTTCTCCTCTGGTTTAGTAGAATAATAATAAATGATAAACATTTAAACCAACAATAATGCAGTAAAATAAACCCTTATGGTCCATATATCAGTAGTTCTATTTTTATAATTTGGTTTAATTTTCTCTTTATTTCTTCTGCTTCTAAAACCCGGCCTATGTCGTTGGACTAGAGTTTATCCTCGGTGCTAACCGGATCTAGCTGGTACCAGGCTGGAGGGGGTCTCTGAATGACCCCCCAGCAGAACCAGTTCCCTCTGGATCGTCCTCAGAACTTTCTGTCCTGATCTGATGATGTCGTCCCTCCAGAAACGGACCAGCCGCCTGTGGCCCGTGTCCTGTCCAGTCAGCCCGTCTCTCTGCCCGTCAGGACCGCCGTCCTGGACGGGTCCCGCTCCTCGGACGATAAAGGCGGCCTCAGCTTCCAGTGGAGCCGAGGTGAAAGCAGTCCTGCAGCCGGGGTGAGAAGGTTCTCCTCGCTCTCAGGGTGATGGAAACGCTCTGGTCCTGCAGCTGCTTGATGTTTGCTCTGCGTTTCAGGATGTGCTGAACAACTCTGACCACCAGGCGGTGCTGCTGCTGGGAAACCTGGTGGAGGGGAAGTACAGCTTTACCCTGACAGTGACCGACAGCAAAGGACAGAGCAGCTCAGACACCGGAACCGTGGAAGTCCGACCAGGTACCAGACCAGGACCTGCAGGAAGGGTTGAAGACCCTAGAACCTCTGAAGGGACCTCCGTCCCTCTGACGGCCTCTCCGTCCCTCTGACGGACTCTCCGTCTCTCTGACGGACTCTCTGTCTCTCTGACGGACTCTCTGTCTCTCTGACGGACTCTCTGTCCCTCTGACGGACTCTCTGTCCCTCTGACGGACTCTCTGTCCCTCTGACGGACTCTCTGTCCCTCTGACGGACTCTCTGTCCCTCTGACGGACTCTCCGTCCCTCTGACGGACCCTCTGTCCCTCTGACAGACTCTCCGTCCCTCTGATGGCATGCCTCTGACGGACTCTCTGTCCCTCTGACGGACTCTCTGTCCCTCTGACGGACTCTCCGTCCCTCTGACGGACTCTCCGTCCCTCTGACGGACTCTCTGTCCCTCTGACGGACTCTCTGTCCCTCTGACGGACTCTCTGTCCCTCTGACAGACTCTCCATCCCTCTGACGGACTCTCCGTCCCTCTGACGGACCCTCTGTCCCTCTGACAGACTCTCCATCCCTCTGATGGCATGCCTCTGACGGACTCTCTGTCCCTCTGACGGACTCTCTGTCCCTCTGACGAACTCTCTGTCCCTCTGACAGACTCTCCGTCCCTCTGACGGACCCTCTGTCCCTCTGACAGACCCTCTGTCCCTCTGACGGACCCTCTGTCCCTCTGACAGACTCTCCATCCCTCTGACGGACTCTCCGTCCCTCTGACAGACTCTCCATCCCTCTGATGGCATGCCTCTGACGGACCCTCTGTCCCTCTGACAGACTCTCCATCCCTCTGACGGACTCTCCGTCCCTCTGACAGACTCTCCATCCCTCTGATGGCATCCCTCTGACGGACTCTCCGTCCCTCTGACGGACCCTCTGTCCCTCTGACAGACCCTCTGTCCCTCTGACGGACCCTCTGTCCCTCTGACAGACTCTCCATCCCTCTGACGGACTCTCCGTCCCTCTGACAGACTCTCCATCCCTCTGATGGCATCCCTCTGACGGACCCTCTGTCCCTCTGACAGACTCTCCATCCCTCTGACGGACTCTCCGTCCCTCTGACAGACTCTCCATCCCTCTGATGGCATGCCTCTGACGGACTCTCTGTCCCTCTGACGAACTCTCCGTCCCTCTGACAGACTCTCCATCCCTCTGACGGACTCTCCGTCCCTCTGACAGACTCTCCATCCCTCTGATGGCATGCCTCTGACGGACTCTCTGTCCCTCTGACGAACTCTCCGTCCCTCTGACAGACTCTCCGTCCCTCTGACGGACTCTCCGTCCCTCTGACAGACTCTCCATCCCTCTGATGGCATCCCTCTGACAGACTCTCCGTCCCTCTGACGGACCCTCTGTCCCTCTGACAGACCCTCTGTCCCTCTGACGGACCCTCTGTCCCTCTGACAGACTCTCCATCCCTCTGACGGACTCTCCGTCCCTCTGACAGACTCTCCATCCCTCTGATGGCATCCCTCTGACGGACCCTCTGTCCCTCTGACAGACTCTCCATCCCTCTGACGGACTCTCCGTCCCTCTGACAGACTCTCCATCCCTCTGATGGCATGCCTCTGACGGACTCTCTGTCCCTCTGACGAACTCTCCGTCCCTCTGACAGACTCTCCGTCCCTCTGACGGACCCTCTGTCCCTCTGACAGACTCTCCGTCCCTCTGACGGACCCTCTGTCCCTCTGATGGACTCTGTCCCGTCTGTGTCTCTCCTGTCAGACGTGTGGGAGCGTGACCTGGTTGAACTGGTCCTGGAGGTTCCCGTTTCCCAGATCTCCAAGCGTCAGCGTGACCTGCTGCTCCGTCAGGTGGGGGTCCTGCTGGGCGTGCTGGATGGTGACATCATCGTCAGAGAGATCAGTGCCTTTAATGAGCACAGGTAAGCCCCGCCCACCTGTTTAACATCCTGACTGGTCAGAAAGGAACAAACAGAATCATTGAATAGAGCGCTGTAGGAGTGGCTGATGGAAAACCTTAAAAAAGTCGTTTATGTTGATGGTCACTAGGCGAGGAGAGATACCCCAGAATGCTTTGCAGCAGGTCTCCTCTCAAAGATTTATGATATTTGTTTTGGGGTGAGGAAGAACAAACATGGCGCCGTGGAAGGAGGCGGAGTCACATGACCAACAGGGAATGAAAAGTAGTGATGATCAGTGGTGGATGAGTTAGGGCGGACGTTCAGACAGAACGCCAGACTCCTGGGTTCACTGCGTTGCTCCTCTTCCTCAGCACCCGTCTGGTCTTCCTGGTGTCGGGCGGTCCAGAGCGCCCCCCTCTGCCCGGCCGCAGTGTGACGCTCAGCCTTCGCAGCAAACTACGCAAACAGAAGAACGACTTCCTGATCTTCAAAGCTCAGCGTGTCGACACGGTCGGTGAGTTCAGATGGGAAACCTTCATCATCCTGAAGCTCTGAAGGTTTCAGATCTCCATGAAGATCCCAGGAAGGATCAGGAGTTTAGGACACTCTTCCTCACCTCCCTCCTCTTCCTCAGTCTGCCAGCTGAACTGCTCCGGCCACGGAGAGTGTGACTCGTTCACTCGGAGGTGCGTCTGCCACCCGTTCTGGATGGAGAACGTCATCAGAGCCCAGCTAGGGGATGCAGAGAGCAACTGTGGTGAGACGATGATGACGACGATGATGATGATGACGATGATGATGATGATGATGATGACGACGACGACGATGATGATGATGACGATGATGATGATGATGACTGAGCTGTTGTGACACGAATTTTCTGCCTCCAGATTGGAGCGTGCTGTATGTCACCATAGCATCCTTCATGATTGTGGTTGCTATGGCAACGCTGGTCTGGTTAGCCGTCTGCTGCTGCAACAGGTGAGTTCACTTTGATCCGATCTGCGGTCTCTGCTCTCTGATTGGTCACCAGCTGCTGCTGATGACGCCGCATGTTTCTGCTTCCTGGAAGGCGGAGGAGCAAAGTTCGCCGCAGCAAAAGTCGTTATAAGATGCTTGAAGGCGAAGATCAGGACGTCTTGGAGCTTCAACCACCAAGAACCAGTAAGAAACAAACACACAGCTGGTCCGCATCATCATGGCCGTCCCTGATTTAACAAAACCAGAACCCAGACCCAGATCTTTGAGAACTCCTCAGAGAACAGATCAGAAATGTTTTAACACCTTAAAGAACAAACCTTCAGCCGGCTGCAAATAGCAGCATGTTTCAGGAGGATCGGCTAATGTTGGTAATAATGAGGATAAAAGAAACGACAGGAAAGAATTCCTCCTGTTGGTTCCGCCTCTGATCAATGGTGAGTTATTCTTTAAGGTTGCGTTTTAAAACTGAAATGAGGATCGAGGAGGTAGAGGAGGAAGATCGATGAAGTAGAGGAGGAAGATTGATGAGGTAGAGGAGGAGCAGGTAGAGGAGGGAGATCGATGAGGTAGAGGAGGAAGATTGATGAGGTAGAGGAGGAGGAGGTAGAGGAGGGAGATCGATGAGGTAGAGGAAGAGGAGGTAGAGGAGGGAGATCGATGAGGTAGAGGAGGGAGATCGATGAGGAGGAGGAGGTAGAGGAGGGAGATCGATGAGGTAGAGGAGGAGGAGGTAGAGGACGAAGATCGATGAAGTAGAGGAGGAAGATTGATGAGGTAGAGGAGGAGGAGGTAGAGGAGGGAGATCGATGAGGTAGAGGAGGAAGATTGATGAGGTAGAGGAGGAGGAGGTAGAGGAGGGAGATCGATGAGGTAGAGGAGGAAGATCGAGGAGGTAGAGGAGGGAGATTGATGAGGTAGAGGAGGAGGAGGTAGAGGAGGGAGATCGATGAGGTAGAGGAGGAGGAGGTAGAGGAGGAAGATCGAGGAGGTAGAGGAGGACGAAGATCGATGAAGTAGAGGAGGAAGATTGATGAGGTAGAGGAGGAGGAGGTAGAGGAGGGAGATCGATGAGGTAGAGGAGGAAGATTGATGAGGTAGAGGAGGAGGAGGTAGAGGAGGGAGATCGATGAGGTAGAGGAAGAGGAGGTAGAGGAGGGAGATCGATGAGGTAGAGGAGGGAGATCGATGAGGTAGAGGAGGACCAAGATCGATGAGGTAGAGGAGGACCAAGATCGATGAGGTAGAGGAGGACCAAGATCGATGAGGTAGAGGAGGAGGAGGTAGAGGAGGGAGATCGATGAGGTAGAGGAGGAGGAGGTAGAGGAGGGAGATCGATGAGGTAGAGGAGGAAGATTGATGAGGTAGAGGAGGAGGAGGTAGAGGAGGGAGATCGATGAGGTAGAGGAGGAAGATTGATGAGGTAGAGGAGGAGGAGGTAGAGGAGGGAGATCGATGAGGTAGAGGAGGAAGATTGATGAGGTAGAGGAGGAGGAGGTAGAGGAGGGAGATCGATGAGGTAGAGGAAGAGGATGTAGAGGAGGGAGATCGATGAGGTAGAGGAGGGAGATCGATTAGGTAGAGGGAGATCGATGAGGTAGAGGAGGACCAAGATCGATGAGGTAGAGGAGGTAGAGGAGGGAGATCGATGAGGTAGAGGTGGGAGATCGATGAGGTAGAGGAGGAAGATCGAGGAGGTAGAGGAGGGAGATCGATGAGGTAGAGGAGGTAGAGGAGGGAGATCGATGAGGTAGAGGAGGAGGAGGTAGAGGAGGGAGATCGATGAGGTAGAGGAGGGAGATCGATGAGGTAGAGGAGGACCAAGATCGATGAGGTAGAGGAGGAGGAGGTAGAGGAGGGAGATCGATGAGGTAGAGGAGGAAGATTGATGAGGTAGAGGAGGAGGAGGTAGAGGAGGGAGATCGATGAGGTAGAGGAGGAAGATTGATGAGGTAGAGGAGGAGGAGGTAGAGGAGGGAGATCGATGAGGTAGATGAAGAGGAGGTAGAGGAGGGAGATCGATGAGGTAGAGGAGGGAGATCGATGAGGTAGGGGAGGACCAAGATCGATGAGGTAGAGGAGGAGGAGGTAGAGGAGGGAGATCGATGAGGTAGAGGAAGAGGAGGTAGAGGAGGGAGATCGATGAGGTAGAGGAGGACCAATATCGATGAGGTAGAGGAGGAGGAGGTAGAGGAGGGAGATCGATGAGGTAGAGGAGGGAGATCGATGAGGTAGAGGAGGAGGAGGTAGAGGAGGGAGATCGATGAGGTAGAGGAGGAGGAGGTAGAGGAGGGAGATCGATGAGGTAGAGGAGGAGAAGGTAGAGGAGGGAGATCGATGAGGTAGAGGAGGGAGATCGATGAGGTAGAGGAGGAGGATAGATGGGTCATACATGCAGCTCCACTGCTTCCTGTGCTCCTTGTTCTGTTTCCTCCCGTCTGGAGGAACTGATCCTCATTGCTCCAATAATGAGGCTGGATTTGTGACATTATAATAAATGTTTCTGGACGCTTCCTTTGTCCCCCCAGCCCGTCTCAAGCCGGTTCCTGGTCCTACATCCTCGGCTCTCATGCACTCTGACTCGGACCTGGACAGCGATGAGGGTCAGGAGCGTGGACACCTGCTGCGGACCCAGAACGGCTCCCTGAAGAACGGCGAGGGGCCCCCCAGGGCCATGAAGCCCAGAGAGGAGCTGCTATAGCCGACAGACTCCCAGATTATTCCTGCTTCCACCCTGAGCCAGAAGCGAGCTGGCATCACTGGAACCACTGGTTACACACTGTGAGACGAGTTTACTGATGAACGCTTTCCTTTCTGCTTCAACGACCCCCCCAGCCGGCCGCCATGTCGCCTCCAACCAAACACTGCCACGTCTGAGGGCCGCTGACCGGTGGAGCTACCAAACCAGAGCTACCACCTTAAAACGCTGCCTAGGGAAACCTGCATGATGAGGGCCGCCCTGAGATTCTGCTGCATGTCTGTGTGTCGGTTTATTTCTGTGTTGTTGACCCACAGGACAGTCTGGGGGGGGGGGGCTTTATTCTGACACCCTGTCACACACTGGAGAACGCCTCGTTAAGGCGCCTCGTTAAGGCGCCTCGTTAAGGCGCTGACTGAGCCCAGCCGCTGACGAGCTGTTGATGCACTTTGACTAAATGTCTCATTTTGTCTCTAATGTTGGTTTGAGAAATCAGCTGATGCTGAAGGTTTAAAGATGAGGAAATGTTCTGCCCCCCTAATCTGGGGCGCTTTTTAATCTGAATTTTATTCCATTAGAAGTTTTTATTTTTCTGCTGAGGCAGAAACCTGAGGATGAGATTGTCTCCGTTGGTTTAATTGGTCTTCCTGCTCAGACGGGCTGTCCCTGATGGTTATCTGGATGACGAGGAGCTCGCCGGGACATTTTAATCTGTTTCCTCACCGCACTGCTTTGATTCTAGTTTATTCTAAAAAGCTCTGAATGTCAGTAACTGAGGAATTTAAATAGCTTTATTCTTTCCTGCTTTTAAAGATAAAATGTGAAGGTGAGGTAAGAAGTTCAGCAGAAGCTTCATGAAGAATGTTTCCTCCTCAGCAACATGCTGCAGCCTGCATGGATCCCAGCTGAGCTGAACTCCTCCTGCTCCTCCTCCTCCTCCTGCTCCTCCTCCTCCAGCCGGGCCACAGCGCCTCACCAGCCGGGTCACTTCCCTGTCGGCTATCTTGTGTGTGAAGAAAAGGCCGGCTGTGGAAACGTGTGAGATGGATGATGTTGGTTCTGTTACGTGTTCATTGGTCTCTTTAGTTCCAGCTGTGTTCATGTTTAGGACCCGAGCTTCCAATTAAGCCCCGCCCTCCTCTGTCTGTCATTAACTGGATCATCTGCAAATCAGAATAAAATGTTTTCATGGTTTGTTGTTAACTGGATCTGTTTCCTCTCTATATGTTTCTGTTCTTCAGTTTGATAGATTCTGCTTGTTAGCAGCAGCAGATGCTATGCTAGTCGTTATCTTACTGCACTCATCAGCTTTGACCTTTGACCTGTGACATCAGGCCGTCTGTGAGTCCGGTTCCTCGGTGCAGCCCAGGTTCCTTTAAGTTCACTCAGTTTTCTTTCTTTGTTCAGGAAGAAGAAGCTGGAGCGAGTTAGGAAAACATAACCAAAGTATAATGCAAATAAAAACATGAAGGTTCAGTCTGTCTGCTGCCCACTAGAGGCCAGGTGATGAACTGACTGAATCTGAGCACTAATCAGATCCTTCCTCCTTTGGTAATTATTGCTCATCAGTTTAAAAGAAACTAGAATATGTATATAAACTAAAACCAGGCTTTGTTGGGCTGCTGGATAAAACCTGGAACTAAACGCTATTTCTGACATTTGGAATAGAAAATTGATGGGAAGCGAAACATCTAACTTGGAAACAAAGTTCAGTGGATTGTTTCTAATTTTCTTTTTTGGAACTCAGATTCACTCATTTCCTGTTTGCATCTATGCCTCCATCTGTTGCCATGGTGACTGTCTCATTCACACATTTTGGCTGTGGTTTTTTTTCCTTCCTGCTGACTTCTACCATTAACCTGGTCCCCCCATTGATGATGATGATGTCGTCCATAGCGGCTGCATTAAGAGGTGACCTCAGAGCTGCTCTGCCATCAGGGTCGGTTCATTTCATCCCGCTCCAGAAATGCCTACAGACTGAAAAATAAACACCACTTTCAAACAGAAGCAAACGTTTATTTTTATTCTATTTTCTACTTTTTGATTCTGTTGAAAGACTTTTTTTTTTTTTGGTTCAAAGTGTCTCTGATGTTCACTATGATGTGATTTAGTCAGAAAGTGGACTACATGTTGCTAACACTCAACCTTCCCATAAATATGGGAGCCACCCTCTGACTAATGATAACGATCAAAAACAATGAAGGAAAAACCTCAAAGATGTCAGGAACATGTCCAGAGAAGAAGAAGAAGAAGAGGAGGAGGACATGCTGTTGGTTTGTTAATCATGGTGGATGATAGTCTAGTGATAAACCATGGGGAGCGTTGGCCTAGAGGTTAGAGCAGCGCTGCGCTCTGAGAAGGTTGCTAGTACCCGGTTGGATCCCCACAGACTGGGTCCCTGAACAAGACCCTTAACCCCACCCCGCTCCCCGGGTGCCACACAATGGCAGCCCACTGCTCCCCATGGGGAGGGGTTAAATGCAGAAGGGGAATAAAGTTCAAGTTTATTATTATTAGTAATGCAGATAAAAGACATCCAGAAGCACGAAGGGGTGGAGAACTGAGGCTTGAGGAACATCCTCCTGATCTCCATCGTTTCCTGTGATCTTGTCCTCCTCTCCGCCCTACAGGAAGCTTCCTGGATCCACTTCCTCCTCCACAACCCGCTGACCTTCTCCACGTACACATAGAAACTAGAGTAATTCTGTTCATTTATAAAGGAAGATTTCTATGTCTGCTTCTGTCTCCTTGAACCCCAGTGGGCCTCAGCAGATGGCCGCTCACACTGAGCCTGGTTCTGCTGGAGGTTTCTTCCTGTTCAAAGGGAGTTTTTCCTCTCCACTGTCGCTACAAGCATGCTTAGTGTGAGGGATTGCTGAAGAGTCAATGAGTCGATGCAATCAGCTGGTTTTCCTTAGATAGAAAACTTTGAATCAATCTGACTGGATGATCTGGTTGATCTGGATCTATAAAGTGAATTGGAGCTATAGAAATAAACAAAATAGAATAGTTTTTCAATAAATATTGAATACATATATCTAACTTCAGACATTTACTGTTGCATTTTTTTAATTGATAGAATTATTGACCAAAGATAATAGAAATTATTTGAATCTTTTATTAAATAAAATTGTGATTTTTTTTAAGCTTTATTCAATTTTAACTGCATGAAGATTTAAGAACAATTTCCAAAGAACAATTGAGTTGAACAAAAGTAGTAATAATAAATAAATATCTGAATAAACCTAAAAATAGTAAAGTGAAGACATAGAAGCATATAAGAGGATTACATAAATATTTTGAATTAAGAGCATAAAGTTTTAACAGCCTTTTTGTTATTGGGAGAGGATGATGTAGAGGAATTATTTGTTGCTTTCTTTAATAAATAAATAAATGAGGGTTTAGTCATAATTTTACATTTATGGATATATAAATTGGTCAAAAGAAGCAAAAGATTCCAAAAGGAAACGTTCAGAGTTAATTTATTGTATAATTAATGTCCTGATCCTCCATGTTGATCAGGGATCCAAACCTCCTCAGGACCCCCGTCCGGCCCTATGTGGGGCCCCTGGCCCCTACTATGGAGACCCTGCTCCTCATTAACCCTTTCCATGCCGGTGTGGCTCCTGCTCCTCCTCCTCCTGCACCTCCTCCTATAGATGGACTCCTCCAGCCCATGGAGGTTCCTCTGTTCTCCTCCGAACCAATCAGCTGCACCAGAGAACCAAACTTCTGGTTTTGTATTTCTATCTGAACAGCTCAGCTGCTCGGTTTGCGGATCTGGATTAGAACCTCTGCCTTCACTCCTTATATGGGAAGGAATCAGAGCGAGGGAGGGGCGGGGCCAGGCGCGGTGCATGCTGGGTAAATTCAGCCTCATCCAGGAAGGAACCACCGAGACGCTGCAGCCCAACGGAACACGGAGCAAAGCACTGGTTAGCAGGTAGGCCGAACCGAACCGAACCGCACCGCACCGGACCGGACCTCCTTCTCTGGCGGTACCGGGGGGGCTGCGGAGGAAACGGGAAGTTCAGGCGGAAGAACCCGGAAATCAGATGATTTGGACCGAACCGGTTCTGTTCTCATTTATTCCTCCTGGTTTCACCAGAACCATCCGAACCGAACCCAGTCTGTCTACACGGTGCCGGGACTGGGTCAGTGGACCCGGTTCGGCTGCAGGTCGGGGTGGTTCCGGTCAGGCTGGACCCGCAGCTTCCGGTTCGGTTCTGTCATCTTAGCCTAGCTTAGCGCTGATTAGCTGCACACCTGTGATCCAGGTGCGGCCCGTATCCCTCCGCGCCGGAACCCCGCCCTACTTCCTGCTGGGTCAGCAGAGAGGAAGGAAAGAGCCGAACCTGCAGCTCAGAACCAGAACCAGAACCAGGAGGCTCGGGGATGGAGTCCAGCAGGTGGACTGGATCTCCAGAACCATCCGAGGAGACCCAGAAGGACGGCCATGTTGGCTTGGTTCTGGGAACCCTCCTCTGGTTCTGGGTCCTGCTGCCCCTCCCAGCCTGCAGGTGCTGCTATCAGGTCTCCCAGTAATGGGCTCGGTTCTGGAAGTGGACCGGACCCAGTGGGTCTGGACCTTCCCAGCAGGAACCTCTGAGATGTGTGCAGATGATTAGCAGGGTTCTGGTAGAACCTGATCCGGTTCTGACTTCTCCCCAGGTCGGACTCATTCTAAGTCCTTATTGGGCCCGTTTGCTCAGAACCTTCCTCTGGTTCTTTCGGGTCATGGTGGGATTTTCCCTCCATGTTCCGATCCTGGATCTAAGGGGACGGGTTCTGTGGTTCTGTGGTTCTGGACTTGCGGTTAAATAAAACCATCTGGACCTCTTTTTTTACTGACATTAAATATCAGAAGCGTTTGGATGGAGCTGCTGATGGTGGTTCTAGATTCGAGGATCTATGGTTCACAGCAGGAGCTTCACCTCTGACCTTTGAACTGGAGAGGTCAGAGTTCAACTAAACTTCAATCATAAACGTTCCTTTATTTTCTAGTTTTCCTTTTGATGATGTCATTTTGAAATGATCAAAGAAGAGCGAATCCAAACGTGTTACCAGGAGACCCTGAGGGCCCCCGTGGTTCTGGAGGGCCCCTGTAGGTTCTGGAGGGCCCCCGTGGTTCTGGAGGGCCCCTGTAGGTTCTGGAGGGTCCCTGTGGTTCTGGAGGGCCCCTGTAGGTTCTGGAGGGTCCCTGAGGTTCTGGAGGGCCCCCGTGGTTCTGGAGGGCCCCTGTAGGTTCTGGAGGGTCCCTGTGGTTCTGGAGGGCCCCTGTAGGTTCTGGAGGGTCCCTGTGGTTCTGGAGGGTCCCTGAGGTTCTGGAGGGCCCCTGTAGGTTCTGGAGGGCCCCTGTAGGTTCTGGAGGGCCCCTGTAGGTTCTGGAGGGTCCCTGTGGTTCTGGAGGGCCCCCGTGGTTCTGGAGGGCCCCCATTTAGATGATCTGGAACCTTCTTACCCTTCGGAGGGAACCAGAACGTCTCTGCAGATGGATCCACCATGGACCATAGAACCGTGTCATAGATTCTGCATTAATTTGGAGAAATTAATGTTTATAGGCTGGAAGAATTAATCAGATGAACTGATAAAATAATCGATTAATCGTTAACTGGATTATAGAGACTTTGAAACCTGCCTTTATCTGACAGACTCACTGAGAGCAACGATTATACCAAGATTGGAAATAAATATATAAACATTTTGCATTTAAGATAAAACTTTTCCATCTGTCAGTCTGCTCTATAATCCAGAACTCTATAATCTCTATAATCCAGAACTCTATAATCTCTATAATCCAGAACTCTATAATCCAGAACTCTTTCTAGTTTCATCTGGTTTAGTTCTGTGAAAAATATGATTATTGATCCATTAATTGAAAAAATAATCAGCAGACGAATCGATTTGCAGAATAATCTTTAGTTGCAGCTCTAGATCTTTAATCTGACCTGTCAGTCTGGTTGTTAGTGGGCGGAGCCTCTCCATGGTGTCCAGGTGACTCCATCAGGTCCTGCTGTCCCAGAATGAACCCTTTAAAACCTTCCTGACCAGCCGGGTCCGTCTGACGCCACCTGGATGGGTCTGGTCCTTGCTTCTGTTCTGGACCGGCCCGGCGGGGCCCCTGGCTCCTGAGACCAGCCCGACGGGGCTCCTGGGACCGGCCCGGCGGGGCCCCTGGGACCGGCCCGGTCAGCCTCTGACTTCCTGTTTCCTGTGTCGCCCCCTGCAGGAATGGCGGCAGAGTTGGCGAGTCTGGTTCAGCGGCTGGAGGTGGCGGTTGGTCGGCTGGAGGCCGTGTCGGGCCCAGGAGGCGGCGCTGGAGGTTCTGCTGGAGGAGGTAACCCTGACCGGTTCTGATCCGCGCCCTCGTCAGGCCCGGGAACTTAGAGGCCCGACCTCTTGTTCCTCTAAAGGTCTTTTTGGACTTTTGCTGCAGTTTCGGTTCTGGAAAACGGACCAAGCGGAACCGAAGGTCCAGTTTAGGACCGGTTCTGATTCACCAGAGCTGGACCAGAACCAAGCAGCAGCAAAAGTTTAAGAACTTTAGGTGAACCGGTCCATAAAGCATCCAGATTCTTTTTGACCCTCTGCTTCCTCCTCAGCGGCGGCGCCGTTCGTCGAGGCGTACGATGACATCATCAAAGGTCCCGTTGCCCAGTACATCTCCCTCAGCCAGAAGATCGGAGGAGACGTCCAGAAACACGTAGGTCCCCCCGACCGGGTCGCTGTGTGCCTCTAAGGAGGGTTGCCATGGTGACGCCTTGTTCTGCTCCTCCTCCTCAGGCTGAGATGATGAAGGCGGCGTTCTCCAGCCAGAGGGCGCTGATCAGCACCGCCGCTTCCTCCCAGAAGCCCTCAGACGTGAGTAACGCTCAGATCCGATCACCTGCTGCTGAGGTTCTGAAACGGACCCGGCGCCGCACTCTTCCAAACAGACCGGGCCGCCAAATGGAGGGCTCTGATTGGTTCTGATGATGTCATGGATGGAATGTTTGTTTTCCTCAGGCGGTTCTGACGACCCTCCTGCAGCCCGTCTCCAAGGCCATCCAGCAGGTCCAGGCGTACCGGGAGCAGAACCGGACCTCTCCGCTGTTCAACCACCTGTCTGCTGTCAGCGAGAGCGTTCCCGCCCTGGGCTGGGTTGCCATGGTAACGCCCTGTGTGTGTGTGTGATTGGAGAGTCCAGTCCGGTTCTTCCTGGTTGGTCCAAATTGAAGCTAAATGTTTATAAACTGTTGTCAACAAGTGGGTGTTTGGAGGACCCTGTTGCCTAGCAACCTCATTAGTTTTTCCGCCATCTTTGAGCTGTGCTCACCTTTAGTGTCAGATAAGATTTGGACTGAAGCGCCGGCCCGGTTCTACAGAGGTTCTTCAGTCTGAATCCTGGTTCTGACCCGGAGCCCCGGTGTAAGTCTGATCCGTCTTCCGTCCCTGATCCGTGTCTCTCCGTCTCCGTGTCCGTGTCTCTCCGTGTCCAGGCTCCAAAGCCGGGTCCCTTCGTCAAGGAGATGCAGGACGCCGCCATGTTCTACACCAACCGAGTGCTCAAGGACTACAAGGAGAAGTGAGTGAAGCCGCTTCCTGTCTGTACAGGAAGTGTTTGTGTCAGAGGTCAGAGGTGACGTGTCTTCTGTCCCTCTTGTCCTCGCAGGGATAAGACACACGTGGACTGGGTGAAGGCCTACCTGTCCGTCTGGACCGAGCTGCAGAACTACATCAAACAGCACCACACCACCGGCCTGACCTGGAGCAAATCAGTGAGTCACAACCTCTGATCTCTGATTGGACGTTAAAGCACGCGGTTAAAGTGAAGCCGCCAGCCGCCATATTGGTACTCCCTAGTTAGACCGGTCTCAATGTAAACAATCTGTTCTCTGCAGCATCAAACAACCAGGATGTTCTCATTTTCAGACTTTTAAAATAAAGATAAATTCATCACTTTAACACAGACTGGATGTTTATAGCATCAGTAGATTAACTTGAACTTAGAATAAATAAATAGACCAATCACATCGCGTCATTATGACGTCAATAAATCATCTAATATAACATAATATAAAATAAATAACAATAACATTAATGTGTTAAAGGAGCAGAATAATACAGATGAGCCAAATGTGCTAAATTAATGATCAAGTAAAACATGTATTGATGACATTTTTATAATAATTACATTTTACATAAAATTACAATATTTCACCTCAGGTCTGAATTACCAGTACGTGTCTGTTATTGCATGAATGATGTCATATCCTTTATGCTGTCGGTGCATCAGCTATTTATCCATTAATATAACCTAAAATATGTTTCAGCTCGACTTTTTCAAATGAGAAATAAACCAAACGCTACAAAAACGACAGAATCATGAATGAAGAATTCCTACATTAACATTTCACAGTGAATCACTTTCTATTTCCTCTACTTTCTATTTTCTATGTCAGTGTCTAACTCAGTCAATGTCTTCCAGTCAGTCTGAGATAGCCAGACTAATGTTAGTCTGCAGTATAATGTTAGTCTGCAGACTAATGTTAGTCTGCAGACTAATGTTAGTCGCCAGACTGTTAGTCTGCAGACTAAACTATAGGATCCATCGGCTATAGATGGATTTATTCTGACTGGGAAATGACCAGTGGAACGTCTTCCTGCAGACAGAAAACTGCTGGTTTCTGCAGCCAGATGCACAGGGAGGCATTTTACTGCACCTCTCTGTGGGAGTGGGGAGTACCAATATGGCGTCCGGAGGCTTCACATTTTCCGAGCCGTTAGCGATCCAGTGAATAGAATCAGTGGTGAGAACAATCAGAGGACGGGTCTCTGATGTTCATGATGTCCCGTCCTGCTCAGGGTCCCGTCGCCGCAGCCTCTGCTCCTCCTGCTGGTGGATGTCCTCCCCCTCCTCCTGGACCTCCTCCTCCCCCCGAGGACCTGAGTGGAGCTCCTGCAGTGGGAGGAGATGGAGGCGCAAACACCAGGAACGCCCTGTTTGCCTCCATCAACCAGGGAGCGGACATCACTAAAGGTAGGAGCCTCCATCAGAGGAAAGGCGCTCCCTCTGCTGCAGTTAAACTCCCACAATCCTTTGCTGGAACCCAGAGATGTCAGCCATTTTATTCCCTTCAGTATAAAGCCTTTATTTCTACCTTCATTCGTAGCTAAACTGTTTAGAATTGAAATAATTCCTACAATGAAATATTTTTAACTTTATTTTATTGTGGAGTGTTTCCCTCTGAGCCGCGGTTCTGCTGTGGTTCTGCCGCGGTTCTGCCGCGGTTCTGCTGCAGTTCTGCTGCGGTTCTGCTGCGGTTCTGCCGCGGTTCTGCCGCAGTTCTGCTGCGGTTCTGCCGCAGTTCTGCTGCGGTTCTGCCGCAGTTCTGCTGCGGTTCTGCCGCAGTTCTGCTGCGGTTCTGCCGTGGTTCTGCTGCGGTTCTGCTGCGGTTCTGCCGTGGTTCTGCTGCGGTTCTGCCGCGGTTCTGCCGTGGTTCTGCTGCGGTTCTGCCGCGGTTCTGCCGCGGTTCTGCCGTGGTTCTGCCGCGGTTCTGCTGTGGTTCTGCTGCGGTTCTGCCGCGGTTCTGCTGTGGTTCTGCTGTGGTTCTGCCGTGGTTCTGCCGCGGTTCTGCCGTGGTTCTGCCGCGGTTCTGCTGCGGTTCTGCCGTGGTTCTGCTGCGGTTCTGCCGCGTTTCTGCCGCGTTTCTGCCGCGTTTCTGCCGCGTTTCTGCTGCGGTTCTGCTGCGGTTCTGCCGTGGTTCTGCTGCGTTTCTGCCGCGTTTCTGCCGCGTTTCTGCCGCGGTTCTGCTGCGGTTCTGCCGCGGTTCTGCTGCGGTTCTGAACCGCCTGTAGCTTCAACTCTGACCCTAAATCTTTTCCAGGCCTGAAGCACGTCAGCGACGACCAGAAGACCCACAAAAACCCGACTCTGAGGAGCCAGGGGGGCGCGGCGGCTCCCGTCCGCTCCGGACCCAAACCGTTCGCTTCCCCCTCCCCCCGACCCGCAGGTTCTGCCGCCCCCGGCCGCACCCTGCCTCCTGTCCTGGAGCTGGAGGGGAAGAAGTGGAAAGTGGTGAGTGTTTGGTTCTGTGGGCTGTTTCTGGATGGGTGGGTGGACTCGCTGTGACCCGCCGCTCTCTGCTTCCTCTGAGAACAGGAGAACCAGGAGGGGGCTCAGGGTCTGGTGATCAGCAACACGGAGCTGAAGCAGGTGGTCTACGCCTACAAGTGCAACCAGAGCACCCTGCAGGTCAAAGGAAAGATCAACTCCATCACCATCGGTAAGAACTCAGCTGGACCACGGAGACGGGTCAGAACCAGAACCAGAACATTTGAATTATCAGACTGGTTCCTTCCAGAACCGCTGGAACATGAGAGCAGAACGCTGAACAGAGACGACCTGCGCCCCCTGCTGGGGGTTTGCTAGATTAGGCTTTCTAGGCCTTTTATTTATAGATATTAATAACTTTTCATAAAGTTCAGCAGTGATCAAATGGAAACAGTTCATGAAAACATGATCCAATAAAAGCATAGATCTAGAAGTTCAGAGCATTAACATCTATGGAGCAAATCTACATTATTATTGGTTTGGTTTTATCAGCGAGATGCAGAGTCTGAGATTTAGAGTTTATCAACAGTTCAGCTGTAATATTCATATTTATTATCTTCAACATGAAGTTATTCAGGATTAAGAGGGAGCAGAGTTTACCAGAGGAATCCTGGTTCTGGTTCTGGTTCCTGGTAGGAAGGCTGGAAAACTGCAAACGGACCTTTAACCCGATCCTGTTCTGGTGCTGCTGTCAGCAGAGAAAGCTTCAATATTTATTAAAAACGATTATAGAGATTCTATAGAATAAATCGAACCAGGGGGACAGCGGGGGCCCCGGGTTGAGGCAGGACATTTGGGGGCCCCGGGTTGAGGCAGGACATTTGGGGGCCCCGGGTATAGGGCCCGGTCAGGATAGTGAGGGCCCCAGGTTGTCATTGAGCGGTTCTGATCCCTTCCAGACCGTCTACATCCAGGTCTGGGTGCAGACGGTCCAGGTGTTTCCATTCTGCCTCCTGATTGGACCGCCTCTGTCATGAGACCCATTCAGGGAGCGGCAGGATGTCAGAAAATGAAGCCATTTTCAGAGAGACGGTAAATTTAACGTGGATGATGACTGTTTCCCTCAGACAGCTGCAAGAAGATGGGTCTGGTGTTTGATGACGTGGTGGGAATCGTGGAGGTCATCAACTGCAGGGACGTGAAGGTCCAGGTACGTCAACACGACGGCGTCTGGTCCTGATGGTGAGTAGAAGCTGCTGATCCGCTCTGGTTTGTCCCGTCTAAAGGTCATGGGGAAGGTTCCCACCATCTCCATCAACAAGACCGACGGCTGCCATGTTTACCTGAGTCAGGACTCCCTGAGCTGCGAGATCATCAGCGCCAAGAGCTCCGAGATGAACGTCCTGGTGCCCAACAAGGACGGAGAGTTTGTGAGTAACTCCTGAAACTGAGGCGGATCTAAGCGGAACTGATCTGTGTTTAAATGTTAGAGCAGAGCTTAAAGATGAGCCTGCACATTTAGAGGATGTTTGGCTCAACCTGCTGCTGTGAAGCAGGATTCTCCACCATGAACAGAATCAACAATAAATCTGGATCCAGGCTCAAAATGAGCTCCTTGATATGTGCTTGAGAATGGCTTAGTCTCTGGTTAAACCCAGGTTTAAAGCCTTGCAGGGCAGCCTAAAGCCCACTGCCAACATTAAGACAGAAAAAAGAAAGAAAAGAACAAACCATCAGTTCAGGGGTTTGAGAAAATATGGGAATCAGGAAATTATCTATAAACCAAACTGAACGATTGTTGTTCTCTACTTCAGAAAACACTTTAGATTTTAAAATACAAAATGTTCATTTTTTTTTCATTTAAAAATTCAATGTATAACATGGATGCATAAACACCTAATTTTATTTCAGTGTCAAATTCTGTTTAAAGTAACAGATTAGAATTAAAAATGTTTCCTTTACTGGTTGATTTTTTTAAATTAGTTCCGGGTTCAGGAATAGTTTTAAACATTAAACGAGCGTTGGATGTTTCATGGTGAGGACGGACGCTCCTCGTTTGGATTCTGGACCCGTCGGTGGTTAGAGACCCGACTTGGACGCGCGTCTCCGTCTTCTTCGCCTCAATCGTTCTCTGGACCTTCTGACGTTCCTCTCTTTCCTCTAGACGGAGATTCCTGTTCCTGAACAGTTCAAGACCATCTGGGATGGCCAGAAGCTCGTCACCACGGCAACAGAGATTGCCGGATAGACGGGACTCCTCCCCCTCCTCCTCACCACCGCCCCTCCCTGACTGATCCACCCCACCCACCTGCTAAGCACTCTAGACTGAGATTCAGACCTCATGAGTTTAACCCCGCCCCATGATCTTTATTAGCCAATCACAGCTGCAGCTGACCCTTCATTAGCCAATGAGAGGGCTGCTCATGTTCTGGAGCAGATCCTCCAGCCAATCAGCAGCTAACAGCTAAAGTGAGAGCTAGATTAGATTTTCAGCAGCCAATCAGCCGCCTCTGTTAGGAAGTTTCCTCATTTCCTGTTTCCTTTTTATGCAACTTCCAGTTAAAGCGCTTAGAAACGAACCCGAAGCATCATGTCGCCTCTGCTGCCGACTTTAATAAGGTTCTGAACAATCGGATCAGGAAGGCTTAGTGTTCCACGTCCTTCCCTCATCGCTCACAGGACATTCCCAAGTGCTAGAAACATTCCAGGTCAGGAAGTCTGAGACGAAGCTGCACCTTCATCACCTGGAAGTCTGTAATCAGATTAAGGATTTGCTCTGATTTTCTGTTTTCTGTCACTTCTTCTTTATTTTTGGGTCCAAAGTGAAATGTTCTCATTAGAGTCATTAAAACATTCAAAATCAGCAGGAAGTTTGTGTCTTTATTGGGTTAAATTACAGATTATTAGAGGTTCTGCAGAAGCTACAATCACCTGGAAGCTTCTGGATGGGCTACAAGCATCAGTGCAAAGAGGGAAGCGGCTGTGCAGCAGCGCCGCCTGCTGGTCTACCTCAGTAACGGCAGCAGGTTGGCGGTGAACCACTCTCTGGAGAACTGGAGGTGGTCTCCGTCGGTGGAGAGGAAAACCAGCTTCTGGGCGGCATCCATGGCAGCCAGACCCAGACGGTCCTGCAGAAACAGAACAAGGTGATTCAGACCTTCAGCGCGTCAGAGGACGTGGTTCTGGAAGCGGTTCCCATGGTTACCTCTTTGTAGAGGACGCTCTCCTGCAGAGTCTCTGTCTCCTTGGCCTGGCCCGCCTTCAGGAACCCGAACCACTTCAGAAACACAAACACATGCAGCCTCATCACCTCAGGCACCAGAATCCCCCGGACCGGACCGAACCGGACCGGGATCCGTTACCTCAGTATCCACCGGATCCACCACGGTGTCCTGCAGGAACTTCACCATGACGAACTTCTGCAGCCTCTGCAGGTTCTTCCTGTACGTCTCGTTAACGGCCTGAAACACAGAGGAGATGAGTCGCCGGTTCTAAGGGGGGGGGGATCATGCTGCCGGGGGTTCTGACCCGCTCCTGGTTGATGTCGGCCAGGAACAGGCTGTGCTTCTTGTACAGGTCGTCGAGCGGGTCGTGCCAGTACTGGGCCTGTACGAGGCTGAAAGAACAAACGGGTCGGTCACAGCGAGCGCAGAGCGGAACCAACCGGATCTTCAACACTTACTGTTTCTGGACCAGGTCGCTGTAGGCCCCCCGGTTCAGAGCCTCCCGGATCATGTCGCAGACGTGGGAGCTCTCCCCAGGACAGCGGGGCAGCCCGTAGACGCCTGCAGACAGGAGGGGGGGTTAGAGGTGCTGATGGAAAACTGATCCACCTGCTGTGGAAGTCTTTAAATAGTTGTAAATGTTCTTAGTGTCTCTTCTGGTCGGATCAGGAGCGTCCAACTCTATCTGCACCATTCTGATGGCGAAGGTCCGGTTGAAGCTGCAGAGATGATGCTTAATTCTCAGCTCTGCGCTGCTGTTGGATCTTTAAAGGAAAATGTTTCCTGAGGGTCAATGAGCTGCTGTAGTGGGTGGGAGGGGCTCTGCTGGTTATCTAAGGTCATTTTCCTTAAAGGTTGGAGGGTCAGCAGGAGTTTAACCCTCTTTGGTTACCTAGGAGATTATGACCTGATAGATTAACTGATAACTTCTCTACAGGAAAGGCCGTCACATCATCCAAGTCTTATCATCTTCATTAAGTCACATAATTAAACTAGTCCATGCATTTGTTACTTCAAGGCTGGACTATTGTAATTCTTTACTATCAGGAAGTCCACAAACTGTAGTTAAAAGCCTTCAGCTGATCCAAAATGCATGCTTCCTCATTCAGGCTGAAACTGATGTTTCAGGCGTGGAAACGACGAATGTTGTGAAACTGGGTGGAGGAACTGAGATGAACGCCGCTCCGTGTTTTTCTTACCTTGATGCTGTCCACCTACAGAGATGAGCGTTCTCATTGGCGGCGAGGGACAGCGCTGAGCCACGGCCCTCCTGTAGGAGCAGAGGAGGCAGGGGTGAGAGGAGGCTTCCTGATCGGAGCAGAGACTCTGAACTGACTCCCGTACAGAAACTGGCCTCCCTGGGAGAAGCCCATGGCGTTATATCCTCCCTGCAGCCGGGGGTCCTGAGCCAGCTGGCTGCACGCCATCGACACCTGAGCGTTCACGTCCAGGAAGAAGCTGTTCTCCATGTCCTGCAGGAGGACACAGGAGGACACTTAGAGGTTCTGACCCATTAACTGGAAACCAGAGGAACCAGAACCGGGTCAGATAGAGAGCTCCAGTTACCCACTGGAACCAAACCAGTAAGACCAGTAAGACCGGCTGCATGTGGGTAGCTTCTGGAGGTCGTCTCTGAACATCTGCTCACCTCCATCACGTTCTTCCCGATCATCAGGGAGAGAACATAGATCCCTGGGATCTCCTCCTCCACCATCTTCTTGATGCTGCCCATGCTGAGCGGGTTGCAGCAGCTGTCGCCTGAAGGAGAACCAGGAGGAGAACATCACAACCAGGAGGAGAACGTCACAACCAGGAGGAGAACGTCACAACCAGGAGAAGAACGTCACAACCAGGAGGAGAACGTCACAACCAGGAGGAGAACGTCACAACCAGGAGGAGAACGTCACAACCAGGAGGAGAACGTCACAACCAGGAGGAGAACGTCACAACCAGGAGAAGAACGTCACAACCAGGAGGAGAACGTCACAACCAGGAGGAGAACGTCACAACCAGGAGGAGAACGTCACAACCAGGAGAAGAACGTCACAACCAGGAGGAGAACGTCACAACCAGGAGGAGAACGTCACAACCAGGAGAAGAACGTCACAACCAGGAGGAGAACGTCACAACCAGGAGGAGAACGTCACAACCAGGAGGAGAACGTCACAACCAGGAGGAGAACGTCACAACCAGGAGGAGAACGTCACAACCAGGAGGAGAACGTCACAACCAGGAGGAGAACGTCACAACCAGGAGAACGTTTCATCAACTGTTTTCTTTCTCCTACAAACTATTCAAAAAACTTAAGAGTCCAAAAAAAACCCATAAACAATCAGGCAGGAGATGAGATGATCATTAAAGGTGGAGGATGTTCTATTTCCAGGTGGATCATCTCAATCAGTGGTCCTCCTAACTGTCAATCATTCTGGTGAAATGTTTCCGTAAGCCCGTCCTTCCTGCTCCTCCCCATTTTCACTGACCGCTGGTGAGTCTGACATGGTGGAAAAATAGAAAATCTGCTTTTGGAAACTAAGCTAGTATGAGTGATGCTACCAGCAACGATTAAACAGAGCGTGCACCAGGAGAAATGTCCTCGTGCACCAGGAGAAATGTCCTCGTGCACCAGGAGAAATGTCCTCGTGCACCAGGAGAAATGGGCTCGTGCACCAGGAGAAATGGGCTCGTGCACCAGGAGAAATGGGCTCGTGCACCAGGAGAAATGGGCTCGTGCACCAGGAGAAATGGGCTCGTGCACCAGGAGAAATGGGCTCGTGCACCAGGAGAAATGGGCTCGTGCACCAGGAGAAATGGGCTCGTGCACCAGGAGAAATGGGCTCGTGCACCAGGAGAAATGGGCTCGTGCACCAGGAGAAATGGGCTCGTGCACCAGGAGAAATGGGCTCGTGCACCAGGAGAAATGGGCTCGTGCACCAGGAGAAATGGGCTCGTGCACCAGGAGAAATGGGCTCGTGCACCAGGAGAAATGGGCTCGTGCACCAGGAGAAATGGGCTCGTGCACCAGGAGAAATGGGCTCGTGCACCAGGAGAAATGGGCTCGTGCACCAGGAGAAATGGGCTCGTGCACCAGGAGAAATGGGCTCGTGCACCAGGAGAAATGGGCTCGTGCACCAGGAGAAATGGGCTCGTGCACCAGGAGAAATGTCCTCGTGCACCAGGAGAAATGGGCTCGTGCACCAGGAGAAATGGGCTCGTGCACCAGGAGAAATGGGCTCGTGCACCAGGAGAAATGGGCTCGTGCACCAGGAGAAATGGGCTCGTGCACCAGGAGAAATGGGCTCGTGCACCAGGAGAAATGGGCTCGTGCACCAGGAGAAATGGGCTCGTGCACCAGGAGAAATGTCCTCGTGCACCAGGAGAAATGTCCTCGTGCACCAGGAGAAATGGGCTCGTGCACCAGGAGAAATGGGCTCGTGCACCAGGAGAAATGGGCTCGTGCACCAGGAGAAATGGGCTCGTGCACCAGGAGAAATGGGCTCGTGCACCAGGAGAAATGGGCTCGTGCACCAGGAGAAATGTCCTCGTGCACCAGGAGAAATGTCCTCGTGCACCAGGAGAAATGGGCTCGTGCACCAGGAGAAATGGGCTCGTGCACCAGGAGAAATGGGCTCGTGCACCAGGAGAAATGTCCTCGTGCACCAGGAGAAATGTCCTCGTGCACCAGGAGAAATGTCCTCGTGCACGAGGAGAAATGGGATAATGCACCAGGAGAAATGGGATAATGCACCAGGAGAAATGGGCTCGTGCACCAGGAGAAATGTCCTCGTGCACCAGGAGAAATGTCCTCGTGCACCAGGAGAAATGGGCTCGTGCACCAGGAGAAATGTCCTCGTGCACCAGGAGAAATGGGATAATGCACCAGGAGAAATGGGATAATGCACCAGGAGAAATGGGATAATGCACCAGGAGAAATGGGATAATGCACCAGGAGAAATGTCCTCGTGCACCAGGAGAAATGGGCTCGTGCACCAGGAGAAATGGGATAATGCACCAGGAGAAATGAGATAATGCACCAGGAGAAATGTCCTCGTGCACCAGGAGAAATGGGCTCGTGCACCAGGAGAAATGGGCTCGTGCACCAGGAGAAATGGGCTCGTGCACCAGGAGAAATGGGCTCGTGCACCAGGAGAAATGTCCTCGTGCACCAGGAGAAATGTCCTCGTGCACCAGGAGAAATGTCCTCGTGCACCAGGAGAAATGGGCTCGTGCACCAGGAGAAATGGGCTCGTGCACCAGGAGAAATGGGCTCGTGCACCAGGAGAAATGGGCTCGTGCACCAGGAGAAATGGGCTCGTGCACCAGGAGAAATGGGCTCGTGCACCAGGAGAAATGTCCTCGTGCACCAGGAGAAATGTCCTCGTGCACCAGGAGAAATGGGCTCGTGCACCAGGAGAAATGGGCTCGTGCACCAGGAGAAATGGGCTCGTGCACCAGGAGAAATGTCCTCGTGCACCAGGAGAAATGTCCTCGTGCACCAGGAGAAATGTCCTCGTGCACGAGGAGAAATGGGATAATGCACCAGGAGAAATGGGATAATGCACCAGGAGAAATGGGCTCGTGCACCAGGAGAAATGTCCTCGTGCACCAGGAGAAATGTCCTCGTGCACCAGGAGAAATGGGCTCGTGCACCAGGAGAAATGTCCTCGTGCACCAGGAGAAATGGGATAATGCACCAGGAGAAATGGGATAATGCACCAGGAGAAATGGGATAATGCACCAGGAGAAATGGGATAATGCACCAGGAGAAATGTCCTCGTGCACCAGGAGAAATGGGCTCGTGCACCAGGAGAAATGGGATAATGCACCAGGAGAAATGAGATAATGCACCAGGAGAAATGGGCTCGTGCACCAGGAGAAATGGGCTCGTGCACCAGGAGAAATGGGCTCGTGCACCAGGAGAAATGAGATAATGCACCAGGAGAAATGGGCTCATGCTGCTCTCACATGCCTTTAACAGGCGTTCCCTCTGGGAGCGTGCACAGGGCTGTACATTATTTCTTTTAAAGTAGAGTAGTTTTTAAAAATCCTCCCCTATACCTTTAATGAATCAGGGAACGTTTGCTGCATGGCAGCTCCTCAGAAGCTCCTCAGACCAACACTGTTCTGACGTTAATCTCCACTCACCCATCCCGTGCCACAGGACCAGAGGGACCGTCCCATTGCTGGGGTCCCTAACGGGGCCAGAGGCCACCAGCAGCACCGGAGCGGCCAGGAGGAAAGAGACGAAGACAGCAGCCATCCTGAAACTGAGAAGCAATAAAGGGCGACTTCAGGCCTCGGTCCACAACGTAGGATCCATGTCTGTCTGCAGAACCTCAGAGAACCTCAGAGAGGAACAGAGAACCTGCTGAACCTCAGCCTCTTTACTCAAACACTCATCCTCAGGTTACCCTGAAGATCTGGATAAGATTCTGTTCATGTCATCATCATCATCATCATCATCATCAGGAAGCTCCTGGCTCCTTCTCACCATCTTTAAAAATGGCCTGAAACCCAGTTTGCCCTTTTTACACCTCTGGTCTGTTACCATGGTAACAACAATGATAATAACAACGAGGCTAATTATTGGAGCAACGATTCTAGATGAATGTGATCTTATGGAAATATAAAGGTGAGTTACGTGCTCAGAAATATAGAAATAATGTGAACAGATTATTCAGAGCCATAAAGAAAAGCAGATATTTTATAGTTTATAATAGAGTCATGAGGAGCAGCACGTGATGATGATGATGGTGGTGGTGATGATGATGGTGATGATGATGATGGTGGTGGTGATGATGATGATGATGGTGATGATGGTGGTTCTAACCTCTGCTGCAGTTTTAAAGTCAATAATAATCTTTCCAGGTAAATAAAGGAAACTGTTGAACTTCCTGCTCTGTAGTTCGACCTTCATATCTAATCAGTTTGTGGTTTCTGGCCGTGATTCCATCATTAAAGGACTCAGGCGGCCCACAGCATGACTGATAAGGCTTCGCTTTGTTTGCTGAGCTTTTAAGGCTGATTGTTAAAGAATGAGCGGAACAGATCAAAGGATCTTGGTTCCAATCGAGTTTAAATCATTTAAAATATCTTTAAAATCACGTTTTTTAGGAAGAATTAACCTTAAATCTTTAATCTGTTATAAAACCAGAAAACGATCAACTCACCGCCTGATCCTACTTCCTGTTTGAGTTCTGTCACGTGACCATTCTGTTTGGGGGACAACAGCCAATCAGAGCGCAGCTGGAGCTAAGCTAGCCTGCTATTTAACACCCGAACCTTCTAAAGATGTTCTGATTCGGTTTGAAGATCCAAACGACAGACCGGTTCCGGTCGGTTGGGTTCGGACCAGGACCAGGACCAGAACCAGAACCAGGAGCTGCGGTTCTGAGCGGCTCCAGGATGAACATCCAGTTCGAAGAAGCGACCCTGAGCAGCAGCTACAGCCTGCTGGGCTCCGGCTTCGGTTCGGAGGAACTGGACCAGGACCTGGACCCGGAGGACAGCAGCCCGTCCAGCAGCAGACCCAGAATCCTGCTGATGGGTCTGAGGAGGAGCGGGAAGTCCTCCATCCAGAAGGTACTGAGGTTCTGATCGGCCCACCAGCAGCTGGTTCTGACCCGGACTGCGGTTCTTTGGTTTCCCTCCTACCGGTGGTTCCGAAACGATGATGTCCAGAACTCAGCAGAACCGGTCAGAACCAGAGGAGCAAAGAGAAAGAAGCAGAACTTCAGAAAACCCAAATGAACTTCTGATCAAACCCTTTTTCATCATTCTGCTTCATCTATCTCTATAGTTCTGCTGCTATAGGCTTAGACTGCTGGAGGACATAGGGACCCCTTTTTCATCATTCTGCTTCATTCTATCTCTATTCTCCCACTCTGCAGAATCTGTTAGTTCAATCTCTAACGTTCTGCTCTCTCTGCTTTTTCTCATAGTAGCTTCATCTGGTCTGTTCCTGTTTGGCTGTGACTCCATCCTGGAGAGAAATATCAGCTGTGCTGCTGCCATCAACACCTTTGTTTCTAGATGTTGGAGCTTGGCCTGTTTTCCAGTGTAGTCCTGTTTCTCTGACTGTGACTAACTGGATGTGCTCTCTTCATCCTCCGACATGGGAGCTGGCTCGGAGCTCGTCTGCCTGGCTGTGTGTTTCCTGGACGGGGCCGCCTGTGGAGCTGGTTGCCTTTTGTATCTATGCTTCTTTTTCTATGTCTGCTTCTGTCTCCTTGAACCCCAGTGGGCCTCAGCAGATGGCCGCGCACACTGAGCCTGGTTCTGCTGGAGGTTTCTTCCTGTTCAAAGGGAGTTTTTCCTCTCCACTGTCGCTACAAGCATGCTTAGTGTGAGGGATTGCTGAAGAGTCAATGAGTCGATGCAATCAGCTGGTTTTCCTTAGATAGAAAACTTTGAATCAATCTGACTGGATGATCTAGTTGATCTGGATCTATAAAGTGACCTGAGATGACATGATGTGAATTGGAGCTATAGAAATAAACTGAATAGAATTGGACCACAGATCCCAGGACTGGATCCAGAAGTTCTGGTTCTCAGTAGAACTTCTGTTTGGGTTCGGGCTTCAGCCGATCGGGGGGGAGGGGCGACCTAGTGGTTAGAGCATAGAGCTTGGAATCCAGAAGTTCTGAGTTGGAGCTCCACTCCCACAGACTGCCCCTCTGTGTCCCTGAGCAAGACCCTTAACCCCCCCCCCCGCTCCCTGGGAGCCGCCCACTGGGGTGGAATTTCTCTATCCTGATGAATAAATTATTAGAATGAAAACCTGAATGTGGTCCAGATGGAGGTGGAACCGGTTCTTCTGGACCTTGGTCCTGACGGGTCGGATCCTCCACAGGTGAGCAGAACCAGGTGAACCCTTGGAACCAGGTTTCTCCTGCAGAGACTCGGACCGCCTGGTTCTGCTGTTGGGAACATTAGGCTGGATCTGAGTCCGTTAGCGCTCAGGTCCAGAACCAGGCCTGAAGTTCTGCTATGTCTCCATCCAGGTGGTCTTCCACAAAATGTCTCCTAATGAGACCCTGTTCCTGGAGAGCACCAACAAGATCTACAAGGACGACATCTCCAGCAGCTCCTTCGTTAACTTCCAGATCTGGGATTTCCCGGGCCAGGTGGACTTCTTCGACCCGACCTTTGACAGCGAGATGATCTTCAAAGGAACCGGAGCTCTGATCTTCGTCATTGACGCTCAGGTAGGAGGACTCCTCAGGTGGTTCCTGGTTCCTGGGTTCTCCTCATGCCGTCCTGCTGTCTGTCCTCCTGCAGGACGACTACATGGAGGCTCTGGGCCGGCTGCACCTCACCGTCTCCAGGGCCTACAAGGTCAACCCTCACATCAACTTCGAGGTCTTCATCCATAAGGTGGACGGTCTGTCCGACGAACACAAGATCGAGACGCAGAGAGACGTCCACCAGCGGGCCAACGACGACCTGGCCGACGCCGGCCTGGAGAAGCTGCACCTCAGGTGAGACCTGGACACCAGCAGGTGAGACCTGGACACCAGCAGCTGCGTCAGATGGAACCAGGTCCATTAACTCGGTTCCTGCTTCTGATGCATCTCAGGTTCTAGGTCCAGGAGGAACCTCAGGAACCTCAGGTCCAGGAGGAACCTCAGGTCCAGGAGGAACCTCAGGTCCAGGAGGAACCTCAGGTCCAGGAGGAACCTCAGGTCCTGGAGGAACCTCAGGAACCTCAGGTCCTGGAGGAACCTCTGGTCCAGGAGGAACCTCTGGTCCAGGAGGAACCTCAGGAACCTCAGGTCCTGGAGGAACCTCAGGTCCTGGAGGAACCTCTGGTCCTGGAGGAACCTCAGGTCCAGGAGGAACCTCAGGTCCAGGAGGAACCTCAGGTCCAGGAGGAACCTCAGGTCCTGGAGGAACCTCTGGTCCTGGAGGAACCTCAGGTCCAGGAGGAACCTCAGGTGCTGGAGGAACCTCAGGAACCTCTGGTCCTGGAGGAACCTCAGGTCCAGGAGGAACCTCAGGTCCAGGAGGAACCTCAGGAACCTCAGGTCCAGGAGGAACCTCAGAAACCTCAGGTCCAGGAGGAACCTCTGGTCCAGGAGGAACCTCTGGTCCAGGAGGAACCTCAGGAACCTCAGGTCCTGGAGGAACCTCAGGTCCTGGAGGAACCTCAGGTCCAGGAGGAACCTCAGGTCCAGGAGGAACCTCAGGTCCTGGAGGAACCTCAGGTCCAGGAGGAACCTCAGGTCCAGGAGGAACCTCAGGAACCTCAGGTCCTGGAGGAACCTCAGGTCCAGGAGGAACCTCAGGTCCAGGAGGAACCTCAGGTCCAGGAGGAACCTCAGGTCCAGGAGGAACCTCAGGTCCAGGAGGAACCTCAGGTCCAGGAGGAACCTCAGGTCCTGGAGGAACCTCAGGTCCAGGAGGAACCTCAGGTCCAGGAGGAACCTCAGGTCCAGGAGGAACCTCAGGTGCTGGAGGAACCTCAGGAACCTCAGGTCCAGGAGGAACCTCTGGTCCTGGAGGAACCTCAGGTCCAGGAGGAACCTCAGGTGCTGGAGGAACCTCTGGTCCTGGAGGAACCTCAGGTCCAGGAGGAACCTCAGGTGCTGGAGGAACCTCAGGAACCTCAGGTCCAGGAGGAACCTCAGGTCCAGGAGGAACCTCTGGTCCTGGAGGAACCTCAGGTCCAGGAGGAACCTCAGGTGCTGGAGGAACCTCAGGAACCTCAGGTCCAGGAGGAACCTCTGGTCCAGGAGGAACCTCAGGTCCAGGAGGAACCTCAGGAACCTCAGGAACCTCAGGTCCAGGAGGAACCTCAGGAACCTCAGGTCCAGGAGGAACCTCTGGTCCAGGAGGAACCTCTGGTCCAGGAGGAACCTCAGGAACCTCAGGTCCTGGAGGAACCTCAGGTCCTGGAGGAACCTCAGGTCCAGGAGGAACCTCAGGTCCAGGAGGAACCTCAGGTCCTGGAGGAACCTCAGGTCCAGGAGGAACCTCAGGTCCAGGAGGAACCTCAGGTCCAGGAGGAACCTCAGGTCCAGGAGGAACCTCAGGTCCAGGAGGAACCTCAGGTGCTGGAGGAACCTCAGGAACCTCAGGTCCAGGAGGAACCTCAGGTCCAGGAGGAACCTCTGGTCCAGGAGGAACCTCAGGTCCAGGGGGAACCTCAGGTCCAGGGGGAACCTCAGGTCCAGCGGGAACCTCAGGTCCAGGAGGAACCTCAGGTCCAGGAGGAACCTCAGGTCCTGGGGGAACCTCAGGTCCAGGAGGAACCTGAGGTCCAGGAGGAACCTGAGGTCCAGGAGGAACCTCTGGTCCAGGAGGAACCTCAGGTCCAGGAGGAACCTCTGGTCCAGGAGGAACCTCAGGTCCAGGAGGAACCTCAGGTCCAGGAGGAACCTCAGGAACCTCAGGTCCAGGAGGAACCTCAGGTCCTGGAGGAACCTCAGGTCCAGGAGGAACCTCAGGTCCAGGAGGAACCTCAGGTCCTGGAGGAACCTCAGGTCCAGGAGGAACCTCAGGTCCAGGAGGAACCTCTGGTCCTGGAGGAACCTCAGGTCCAGGAGGAACCTCAGGTCCAGGAGGAACCTCAGGTCCAGGAGGAACCTCAGGTCCTGGAGGAACCTCTGGTCCTGGAGGAACCTCAGGTCCAGGAGGAACCTCAGGTGCTGGAGGAACCTCAGGAACCTCTGGTCCTGGAGGAACCTCAGGTCCAGGAGGAACCTCAGGAACCTCAGGTCCAGGAGGAACCTCAGAAACCTCAGGTCCAGGAGGAACCTCTGGTCCAGGAGGAACCTCTGGTCCAGGAGGAACCTCAGGAACCTCAGGTCCTGGAGGAACCTCAGGTCCTGGAGGAACCTCAGGTCCAGGAGGAACCTCAGGTCCAGGAGGAACCTCAGGTCCAGGAGGAACCTCAGGTCCTGGAGGAACCTCAGGTCCTGGAGGAACCTCAGGTCCAGGAGGAACCTCAGGTCCAGGAGGAACCTCAGGTCCTGGAGGAACCTCTGGTCCTGGAGGAACCTCAGGTCCAGGAGGAACCTCAGGAACCTCAGGTCCAGGAGGAACCTCAGAAACCTCAGGTCCAGGAGGAACCTCAGGTCCAGGAGGAACCTCAGGTCCAGGAGGAACCTCAGGAACCTCAGGTCCAGGAGGAACCTCAGGTCCAGGAGGAACCTCAGGTCCAGGAGGAACCTCAGGTCCAGGAGGAACCTCAGGTCCTGGAGGAACCTCAGGTCCTGGAGGAACCTCAGGTCCAGGAGGAACCTCTGGTCCAGGAGGAACCTCAGGTCCAGGGGGAACCTCAGGTCCAGGGGGAACCTCAGGTCCAGCGGGAACCTCAGGTCCAGGAGGAACCTCAGGTCCAGGAGGAACCTCAGGTCCTGGGGGAACCTCAGGTCCAGGAGGAACCTGAGGTCCAGGAGGAACCTGAGGTCCAGGAGGAACCTCTGGTCCAGGAGGAACCTCAGGTCCAGGAGGAACCTCTGGTCCAGGAGGAACCTCAGGTCCAGGAGGAACCTCAGGTCCAGGAGGAACCTCAGGAACCTCAGGTCCAGGAGGAACCTCAGGTCCTGGAGGAACCTCAGGTCCAGGAGGAACCTCAGGTCCAGGAGGAACCTCAGGTCCTGGAGGAACCTCAGGTCCAGGAGGAACCTCAGGTCCAGGAGGAACCTCTGGTCCTGGAGGAACCTCAGGTCCAGGAGGAACCTCAGGTCCAGGAGGAACCTCAGGTCCAGGAGGAACCTCAGGTCCTGGAGGAACCTCTGGTCCTGGAGGAACCTCAGGTCCAGGAGGAACCTCAGGTGCTGGAGGAACCTCAGGAACCTCTGGTCCTGGAGGAACCTCAGGTCCAGGAGGAACCTCAGGAACCTCAGGTCCAGGAGGAACCTCAGAAACCTCAGGTCCAGGAGGAACCTCTGGTCCAGGAGGAACCTCTGGTCCAGGAGGAACCTCAGGAACCTCAGGTCCTGGAGGAACCTCAGGTCCTGGAGGAACCTCAGGTCCAGGAGGAACCTCAGGTCCAGGAGGAACCTCAGGTCCAGGAGGAACCTCAGGTCCTGGAGGAACCTCAGGTCCTGGAGGAACCTCAGGTCCAGGAGGAACCTCAGGTCCAGGAGGAACCTCAGGTCCTGGAGGAACCTCTGGTCCTGGAGGAACCTCAGGTCCAGGAGGAACCTCAGGAACCTCAGGTCCAGGAGGAACCTCAGAAACCTCAGGTCCAGGAGGAACCTCAGGTCCAGGAGGAACCTCAGGTCCAGGAGGAACCTCAGGAACCTCAGGTCCTGGAGGAACCTCAGGTCCAGGAGGAACCTCAGGTCCAGGAGGAACCTCAGGTCCAGGAGGAACCTCAGGTCCAGGAGGAACCTCAGGTCCTGGAGGGAACCTCAGGTCCTGGAGGAACCTCAGGTCCAGGAGGAACCTCAGGTCCAGGAGGAACCTCAGGTCCAGGAGGAACCTCAGGTGCTGGAGGAACCTCAGGAACCTCAGGTCCAGGAGGAACCTCTGGTCCTGGAGGAACCTCAGGTCCAGGAGGAACCTCAGGTCCAGGAGGAACCTCAGGAACCTCAGGAACCTCAGGTCCAGGAGGAACCTCAGGAACCTCAGGTCCAGGAGGAACCTCTGGTCCAGGAGGAACCTCTGGTCCAGGAGGAACCTCAGGAACCTCAGGTCCTGGAGGAACCTCAGGTCCAGGAGGAACCTCAGGAACCTCAGGTCCAGGAGGAACCTCAGGTCCAGGAGGAACCTCTGGTCCAGGAGGAACCTCTGGTCCAGGAGGAACCTCAGGAACCTCAGGTCCTGGAGGAACCTCAGGTCCAGGAGGAACCTCAGGTCCAGGAGGAACCTCAGGTCCTGGAGGAACCTCAGGTCCAGGAGGAACCTCAGGTCCAGGAGGAACCTCAGGTCCAGGAGGAACCTCAGGTCCAGGAGGAACCTCAGGTGCTGGAGGAACCTCTGGTCCAGGAGGAACCTCTGGTCCAGGAGGAACCTCAGGTCCAGGGGGAACCTCAGGTCCAGCGGGAACCTCAGGTCCAGGAGGAACCTCTGGTCCAGGAGGAACCTCAGGTCCAGGAGGAACCTCAGGTCCTGGGGGAACCTCAGGTCCAGGAGGAACCTCTGGTCCAGGAGGAACCTCTGGTCCAGGAGGAACCTCAGGTCCAGGGGGAACCTCAGGTCCAGCGGGAACCTCAGGTCCAGGAGGAACCTCTGGTCCAGGAGGAACCTCAGGTCCAGGAGGAACCTCAGGTCCTGGGGGAACCTCAGGTCCAGGAGGAACCTCTGGTCCAGGAGGAACCTCAGGTCCAGGAGGAACCTGAGGTCCAGGAGGAACCTCTGGTCCAGGAGGAACCTCAGGTCCAGGAGGAACCTCTGGTCCAGGAGGAACCTCTGGTCCAGGAGGAACCTCAGGTCCAGGGGGAACCTCAGGTCCAGCGGGAACCTCAGGTCCAGGAGGAACCTCTGGTCCAGGAGGAACCTCAGGTCCAGGAGGAACCTCAGGTCCTGGGGAACCTCAGGTCCAGGAGGAACCTCTGGTCCAGGAGGAACCTCAGGTCCAGGAGGAACCTGAGGTCCAGGAGGAACCTCTGGTCCAGGAGGAACCTCAGGTCCAGGAGGAACCTCAGGTCCAGGAGGAACCTCAGGTCCTGGAGGAACCTCAGGTCCAGGAGGAACCTCAGGTCCTGGAGGAACCTCAGGTCCAGGAGGAACCTCAGGAACCTCAGGTCCAGGAGGAACCTCAGGTCCTGGAGGAACCTCAGGTCCAGGAGGAACCTCAGGTCCTGGAGGAACCTCAGGTCCAGGAGGAACCTCAGGTCCAGGAGGAACCTCAGGTCCTGGAGGAACCTCAGGTCCTGGAGGAACCTCAGGTCCAGGAGGAACCTCAGGTCCAGGAGGAACCTCAGGTCCTGGAGGAACCTCAGGTCCAGGAGGAACCTCAGGTCCAGGAGGAACCTCAGGTCCAGGAGGAACCTCAGGTCCAGGAGGAACCTCAGGTGCTGGAGGAACCTCAGGAACCTCAGGTCCAGGAGGAACCTCAGGTCCAGGAGGAACCTCTGGTCCAGGAGGAACCTCAGGTCCAGGGGGGAACCTCAGGTCCAGCGGGAACCTCAGGTCCAGGAGGAACCTCTGGTCCAGGAGGAACCTCAGGTCCAGGAGGAACCTCAGGTCCTGGGGGAACCTCAGGTCCAGGAGGAACCTGAGGTCCAGGAGGAACCTCTGGTCCAGGAGGAACCTCAGGTCCAGGAGGAACCTGAGGTCCAGGAGGAACCTCTGGTCCAGGAGGAACCTCAGGTCCAGGAGGAACCTCAGGTCCAGGAGGAACCTCAGGTCCTGGGGGAACCTCAGGTCCAGGAGGAACCTGAGGTCCAGGAGGAACCTCTGGTCCAGGAGGAACCTCAGGTCCAGGGGGAACCTCAGGTCCAGGGGGAACCTCTGGTCCAGGAGGAACCTCAGGTCCTGGAGGAACCTCAGGTCCAGGGGGAACCTCAGGTCCAGGAGGAACCTCAGGTCCAGGAGGAACCTCTGGTCCTGGAGGAACCTCTGGTCCAGGAGGAACCTGAGGTCCAGGAGGAACCTGAGGTCCAGGAGGAACCTCAGGTCCTGGAGATGAGAGCTAAACATCTACGGGTCACAAAGAGCGGAACCTCCAGCGGTTCTCCACCTCAGGCTGAGGGAACCCGACTAGAACCTCCCCCTTCCTTCTGTGACTCCTGCTGTGATCTTCTGCCCTCAGCTTCTACCTGACCAGCATCTATGATCACTCCATCTTCGAGGCCTTCAGCAAAGTGGTGCAGAAGCTCATCCCCCAGCTGCCCGTGTTGGAGAACCTCCTGAACATCTTCATATCGGTAGGAATCAGAGCCTCCTGCTCCTCCTTCAGCAGGTCCGGTTCCTCCCTAACATCTGATCTCCTCCGCTCCTCAGCACTCGGGGATCGAGAAGGCCTTCCTGTTCGACGTGGTCAGTAAGATCTACATCGCCACCGACAGCTCTCCGGTGGACATGCAGTCCTACGAGCTCTGCTGCGACATGATCGACGTGGTCGTCGACGTCTCCTGCATCTACGGGTGAGAAGACCCGGAGCCGGTCCCACCCGGCCGGTTCTGGGCCGGTTCTGGGCCGGTTCTGGGCCGGTTCTGTGACGGTTCTGTTGCTCCTCCAGGCTGATGGAGGACGGCGGCGGCTGCGCCTACGACAGCGAGTCTTTGGCCATCATCAAGCTGAACAACACCACGGTTCTCTACCTGAAGGAGGTCACCAGGTTCCTGGCTCTGGTCTGCATCCTCAGGGAGGAGAGCTTCGACAGGAAAGGTGCTGCCAGGTTCTGACCCCAGGTCCTGGTCCTGAAGGTCCTAGTAGATCTGCAAAACTAGATTCTGACTTCAGACACCCTTCCTTCCCTGCTTCCTTCCTTCCTTCCTTGCCTGCTTCCTTGTTTCCTTCCTTCCTTCCTTCCTTGCCTGCTTCTTTGTTTCTTTCCTTCCTTCCTTCCCTGCTTCCTTCCTTCCTTGCCTGCTTCCCTGCTTCCTTCCTTCTTTGCCTGCTTCCTTGTTTCCTTCCTTCCTTCCTTGCCTGCTTCCTTGTTTCCTTCCTTCCTTCCTTGCCTGCTTCCTTGTTTCCTTCCTTGCTTGCCTGCTTCCTTGATTCCTTCCATCCTTACCTGCTTCCTTGTTTCCTTCCTTCCTTCTTTGTCTGCTTCTTTGTTTCCTTCCTACTTTGCCTGCTTCCTGGTTTCCTTCCTTCTTTGCCTGCTTCCTGGTTTCCTTCCTTCTTTGCCTGCTTCCTGGTTTCCTTCCTTCCTTGTTTCCTTCCTTCCTTCCTTGCCTGCTTCCTTCCTTCCTTGCCTGCTTCCTTGTTTCCTTCCTTCTTTGCTTCCTTGTTTCCTTCCTTCCTTCTTTGCCTGCTTCCTTGTTTCCTTCCTTCCTTCCTTGCCTGCTTCCTTGTTTCCTTCCTTGCTTGCCTGCTTCCTTGATTCCTTCCTTCCTTCTTTGTCTGCTTGTTTGTTTCCTTCCTACTTTGCCTGCTTCCTGGTTTCCTTCCTTCTTTGCCTGCTTCCTGGTTTCCTTCCTTCCTTGTTTCCTTCCTTCCTTCCTTGCCTGCTTCCTTGTTTCCTTCCTTCCTTGCCTGCTTCCTTCCTTCCTTGCCTGCTTCCTTCCTTCCTTGCCTGCTTCCTTCCTTCCTTGCCTGCTTCCTTGTTTTCTTGCCTGCTTCCTTGTTTTCTTCCTTCCTTCCTTGTTTCCTTCCTTCCTTACCTGCTTCCTTCCTTCCTTGCCTGCTTCCTTGTTTTCTTGCCTGGATCCTTGTTTTCTTGCCTGCTTCCTTGTTTTCTTGCCTGCTTCCTTGTTTTCTTGCCTGCTTCCTTGTTTCCTTCCTTCCTTGTTTCCTTCCTTCTTTACCTGCTTCCTTCCTTCTTTGCCTGCTTCCTTGTTTCCTTCCTTCTTTGACTGCTTCCTTGTTTCCTTCCTTCTTTGCCTGCTTCCTGGTTTCCTTCCTTCCTTGTTTCCTTCCTTCCTTCCTTGCCTGCTTCCTTCCTTCCTTGCCTGCTTCCTTGTTTCCTTCCTTCTTTGCTTCCTTGTTTCCTTCCTTCCTTCTTTGCCTGCTTCCTTGTTTCCTTCCTTCCTTCCTTGCCTGCTTCCTTGTTTCCTTCCTTGCTTGCCTGCTTCCTTGATTCCTTCCTTCCTTCTTTGTCTGCTTGTTTGTTTCCTTCCTACTTTGCCTGCTTCCTGGTTTCCTTCCTTCTTTGCCTGCTTCCTGGTTTCCTTCCTTCCTTGTTTCCTTCCTTCCTTCCTTGCCTGCTTCCTTGTTTCCTTCCTTCCTTGCCTGCTTCCTTCCTTCCTTGCCTGCTTCCTTCCTTCCTTGCCTGCTTCCTTGTTTTCTTGCCTGCTTCCTTGTTTTCTTCCTTCCTTCCTTGTTTCCTTCCTTCCTTACCTGCTTCCTTCCTTCCTTGCCTGCTTCCTTGTTTTCTTGCCTGGATCCTTGTTTTCTTGCCTGGATCCTTGTTTTCTTGCCTGCTTCCTTGTTTTCTTGCCTGCTTCCTTGTTTTCTTGCCTGCTTCCTTGTTTCCTTCCTTCCTTGTTTCCTTCCTTCTTTACCTGCTTCCTTCCTTCTTTGCCTGCTTCCTTGTTTCCTTCCTTCTTTGACTGCTTCCTTGTTTCCTTCCTTCTTTGCCTGCTTCCTTGTTTCCTTCCTCCCTCCCTCCCTCCCTCCCTCAGCAGGAAGCTTGTTTGTGGTTTCCTAATCGCGTTCAGGAAGTGACCCGGGTTCTGCTTCCTTGTTTCCTTCCTTCCTTCTTTGTCTGCTTCCTTGTTTCCTTCCTCCCTCCCTCAGCAGGAAGCTTGTTTGTGGTTTCCTAATCGCGTTCAGGAAGTGACCCGGGTTCTGCTTCCTGTTCAGGGCTGATAGATTACAACTTCCACTGTTTCCGGAAGGCGATCCATGAGGTGTTCGAGGTGGGAAGTCTGTTTGAAGGCTCCGTCTGGAGACCAACCAGTTCTTCCGGCATCAAGCAGAAGGAGCTGCTGAACGGATTTTAACGCTCCTGCAGACGCCGGATCTGTAGAACGTTCCCAGGAAGGAGAAACGTCCAAAGACTCGGATGAGGCGACTAGAACTTGGAGGTGAAACCTTCCAGGAAGTTGTCCTGATGCTGGTTCTTAGCAGGTTCCTCTGGAGCTCAGAGGGAGGAACCGAACCAGAACTTGACTCTGATGTTTTATCTGCTTTTAGCCAAATGATCCGTTTCTAGACGTTGATGTTCTGATTTTCTTATGGAGTGAATTTTTAAATAAAGAGGTTCTCCTCTGTCTGGTTCCGTGTCTTTATTACTGATGGACCACAGGTCTGATGATCCGGTTCTCCATCATGCTGGAACCTTCACAGCAGACTAGATCAATGAGCCTGGAGGCTCCTCTTCTCCTCCATGTTCATGCAGATCAGCTTGGTGGAACCTCATCGATGTCCTGGAACTACTTCTCTGCAGCTGATGGATGAAATGTTGCTGATCTAGAAAACTGCTCTACCTGCTGCCATGGTCTCAGGTTCCTGCTGGGTTCTTTGGAGGAACCGGAACCAGAACAGTTGTTTTCTGGACTCCTTTAACATCTGCTGCTGCTGCTGACATCATCAGGCTGGAGGTTTAAACTGGTGAAGATCTTCATGATGCTTCTGCTCAGTCATCACCTTCCTCCGCACTTTAAATAGCTTCTGTCCAAACTTTATTCATTCATTTTATAGTAAAACACATCTGTATATATGCTGTCGTACATAACTGTAAAACCCTTTTTATAGTAATATCCATCTGTATGTTATATTGGGTAAATATCCAGCTGTAAATTTAGTTCATAACTCTAGTTATCTATATATTATATTCATCTATTAGTGAGATTCTGTTTATGTTATTCATCTCTATATTTATTCAGTAGAATCCATGTCCTGTGTTTACAGAACTATTATTTATTAACCATTAACTTCTAGTTAGACCTAAACTGCATCTCGTTGCCTTGTACCTGTGTAATGAGAATAAAGTTTAATCTAATCTAGTCTTGACTAGTTTAATCTAATCTAGTCTAGACTAGTTTAATCAGGAGAAGCTGAGGTCTGACAGCCTGCAACCACCACCTTCCACCAGCAGGGGGCAGATCGACCCCACTGTTTAAAGGTCCAGACCTGACCATCTTCCCCAGCTCCTCATCCTCAGCTCCTTCCTCCCTACCAGCTGATGATGATGATGATGAGGAGGAGGAGCAGCAGCTGTGGCTTTAAATCCTCCTCAGAGGACATGAGATCCGGTTCCGGTTCGGATCTGAATCAGAATGTAAAGGAATCCCAGATAATCCAGCACAGCTCCTCATCCTCACTTTACCATAATATGTGTGAATGAGGAGGAGGAGGAGGAGGAGGAAGGAGGAGGAGGAGGAGGAGGAGGAGGAGGAGGCGGTCCCTTCCTCCCTCTGGCTCCCTGCAGCTCAGCCTCTGCCTCAGTCCGTGGAAAGTTCACGGAGGAATCACGTGGCGTGGAAGCAGCGGTCCTGATCAGGTAGGCCCACCTGTAGTACTTGTTACACCTGGGAGGGGCGGGGTCTAAACTGTGTGTCATTAGTCTGTGACTGTCACCATAGCAACAGCTCAGATCTGGCTGAACAGTCTGAGGCGTCCAGAACCGAACCCTGCCTGACCCGGTGGGGGGGGGGGGGGGGGGGGTAACTTCTGATATTTTAGATCTATTCTGGATTTTAATGCATTTGATCATAAAGAAAATCACTTTGTTCTACTTTTATTTCTCTTCTTTGACTAAATCAGCTGGAAAACCAACATTTTCAGGCTGACCTTTAAACCGGGTCCAAACTGGAGGTTCTGCTACATGTTGGAGTTCAGGACGGGTCTGAGAACCCTTCTGGTTCTGGACTACAGCGGAGCCAGTTCTGGTTCCGGTTCCAGCTTTCAGAGGATCTTTTTAGATCCAGATGGTTCTCTGGGATCCTTCCCTAAAGTTCTGATCCATAAAGCTGCTGGACCGGACCGGACCGTTTCCCAGGTCTAAACAAGGCGGGCCACAGTGACCCCTGACCACAGCTGGTGGTACCAACTGGACCCGGCAGAACCGGCCCTGTTTGATCATCTGTAGCTTAAATTTCAGCTAAAACATCCTGATAAGCAGGTTTGGACAGAAAGGAACCAGGAACCGCGGTTCCTTCCTCCTGAGCTGCAGAACCAGAACCAAACCAACTAGAACTCAGCAGAACCTTCAGTGTTTTGGATCTATTCTATGGATCCCATTTCTAGAATATTTGACCTCTTTGTATTATTCAGTTTTAATGTAAAAACAAATGAGATGTTGGGCTGGAAGGTTTGGTCCAGAACCTCTAGAACCGGGTCAGAACCGAGCTTGTGGGTAAAACCTGAAGACTTTCCGTCCATCGCGGTCCTGCAGGGGGCAGCAGTGAGCGCGTCAGGCAGTGACCGAAGCAGCCGACAGTCAGCAGACCCAGAAGAACCGCAGACACAGGATCGGTCCGGTCCTCCTACAGAACCGGGTCTTTGGATCAGATTGTTCCCTGGAACAGACCCGGCCAGCTGTGGTTCTGGAACATCTCAGCGTTATTCTGCTGAACTTCAGCTGCAAAAGAGACAAAGACGAGTGGGGCAGTTCTGGAGACGCCTGCCGGGTCCAACTGGTTTCCATAAAAGGTTCTGAGGCTTTCAAAGCTTTGACGCCGTCCTCCATGTTTGTTCCAGAAGCTTTGATGACGCATGAAGGAGGCTGTCGCCACGGGACAATAGACTGCAGACAAACATCCCGCAGGGACAGGAGGGGACAGGAGGAGACGGGGACAGGAGCAGATAGGAGAGGACAAGAAGGACAGGAGGAGACGGGGGACAGGAATGGATAGGAGAAGACAAGAAGGACAGGAGGGGACAGGAGGAGACGGGGGACAGGAGAAGATAGGAGAAGACAAGAAGGACAGGAGGAGACGGGGGACAGGAGCAGATAGGAGAGGACAAGGAGGACAGGAGGAGACGGGGGACAGGAGCAGATAGGAGAGGACAAGAAGGACAGGAGGGGACAGGAGGAGATAGGAGAGGACAAGAAGGACAGGAGGAGACGGGGGACAGGAGGAGACAGGAGGACATAACAAATCTGTCAAACATAACAACCTCTAAAAAATTCCAGTCAGGTTTGCGTTTCGTCCACAGCGCAGAGACAGCCCTAGTCAGTCTCTAACGTCCTCCTCAGGTGATCTGATGCTGGATCTTCATCCCTCCTCATCCTCCCCATCCTCTTCATCCTTTAAACCCCCCAACCCCCCCCCCCCCCATCCTCACAGTCCACCTGTCTGGAGGAGATAAAGGTACGGATGGAGCTAAACTTTCTTCCACTCAGCAGATCCAAATCTGAAGCCCTCCTGGTTGGACCTCCTCATCACTTCCTCTGGTTCTAACATCTCGCTCTCATCAACAGTTAGTAGGAACGGACTCACAGCTCACTTTGAAGTCCAATCATTTAAATAAATCATTTATAGGAGCTCTTTCTACCTCCTCTGAAACATTTCCAAACTCCGTCCCATTCTCTCCCTCCCAGACGATGAGAAGCTGCTTCCTGTCTTTGTCTCCTCCAGACTGGACTGTTGCTTCTTCTCACTGGGATCCCTTCGCTCCCCTCACTCAGACCTGCTCCACATTCCCAGATCCAGACTCAGGATCATGGGAGCGTTTTATGCTTTGGATCCCCCCCCCCCCCCCCCCACGAGGGCTCCTAAATCCAACGACTGTTTTAAAAAAGGCCTTAAAATATTTCTTTATATCAAAACTTTTGGTCCCTTTTAAATATTTTTTTTTCTCTTTTTAAAACAGCTTTTATTATTATTATTTATTTTTTCATTATTATTGTTCTTTTTTGTATTTCTTTTTTAATGCTTGTCTTTTTTTGTCGTACTTTGAGGTCTTTTTGATGAAAAGTGCAGAATAAATTAAATGTATTATTATTATTTTATTATAGAAGACAGGAGGAGACAATGGGGGACAGGAGGAGACATGAGAAGATGGGGCATGAGAGACAGGATAGGACAAGAAGGACAGGAGGAGAGGGAGGAGATGGGGGACAGGAGGTGTTGTCTGATTGGAGGAACGTCTGGCTGAGCTTTGGAGGAAGTTGTGATGAAAGGCAGCAGATGTTCCTCCTCAGGAAGCTGAGCGGAAGGAGAGCCATTGTTCTGCTGCTGCCTTCAGGAACCGCTCTGGTCTCTGCAGCGACGACTGCGGAGGCGGTTCTGATTCTGGCTGTTCTGATCCGCAGGAGGTCGGCACCATGAGCGCCGCGTTCAGCTGCAGGATCTGCAGCCAGTCTCTCTGTGGACGTAAATACATCAAGGTGGAGGAGAAGCCCCACTGCGTCCACTGCTACGACCGCCTCTACGCCAACACCTGCCACGAGTGCAAGGAGACCATCGGACACCACGAGAAGGTACCGACCCGACCAGAACCAGCCCTGGTTCTGGTCAGACGGGACGGAGCAGAATGCTTCAGGCTTTATGGTTGAGGAGGAATCTCACCAACATCTGGATGTTCTGCAGAGTCCAGAACTGAAGGTTGGTCTTTGGAGACATTGTTGGATCTTCAGCCTGTTCTCTGTGGAACATCCAGGTTCTGGATGGTTCCATCCCTGTGGGGTCCAGCAGTTAGCTGTGCTGGGTTCATGTCCAGAACCTCCTGGGACTGTGGAGCTTCATTACCTGGAAGGGTCTCTGAAGCTCCGCCTGCTTGGTGGAGATTCCCAGTCATGCAGGTCATCCAGGTCATCCAGGTCATCCAGGTCTTCCAGGTCTTCCAGGTCACAGTCGTTCCAGAAAATCTCAAATCAATCCTCTGGACTTTGTTTCTGAGTTTGAAGACGTTTCTCTTCCATCCAGGAAGCTTCTTCAATTCAAAATGTCAGAAATAGCGTTTAGTTCCAGGATTCAGAGAATGGACCAATCAAAGCCTTGCTTTGGTTTAGAAAACATGCAAACTGATCCAGAAGATCAGGTCCGCCCCTCAGGAAGCTTCCTGGATGGGAAGAGGAACGTCTTCAAACTTGGAAACAAAGTCCAAAGGATTGTTGTTTTTACTTTTTGGGAAAGCAGGAAATTCTTTCCTTGGTCGTTTTTAGAAGCTGAAGCTCCGCCCCTCATCCTGGACAGCTGGAGATAAGGAACCACTCCGATTAATGGATCCTTCAGTTTAGAGAAGTAGAGAAACTCTGCAGCTGCAGACGCCCAAAGATCTCTGACAGGATGACGAAGAGTCGCTCTCCTCCTCTTCCTCTTCCTCCTCTCAACTAAACATAAAAACAATCGTCTTCATCCTTCTCTGTCCTCGGAGCGCCGCTGCTTTCCCTCACTTTAATGAGACGTCCTTTCACAGCTTTAACTTCTGTAAACATCCATCAGCTGAGAGCAGCCGATGGTTTCAGAGCTTCCTCATAAACATCAGCATCTCTCCCTGGAATCACCTGGAAAAGCTGCTCCAACTTTTTCCAAAACCTCCCAGAACCTCTACTTCAAACCCTTCCTTCCTTCCTTCCTTCCTTCCTTCCTTCCTTCCTTCCTTCCTTCCTTCCTTCCTTCCTTCCTTCCTTCCTTCCTTCCTTCCTTCCTTCCTTCCTTCCTTCCTTCCTTCCTTCCTTCCTTCCTTCCTTCCTTCCTTCCTTCCTTCCAGGGTAATGTTCTCATGATGTTCTCCTTCTCCCTGCAGGAGCTCATGCATGAGAACCGTTCCTTCCATGAACGCTGCTTCCGGTGCTTCAGCTGCGATCGCTCTCTGGCCGATGAGTCCTTCATCCAGCAGGGCGGCGCTCTGATCTGCAGCGACTGCTACTGCAGCCAGTGCTCCTCCAAGTGTGCAGCCTGCAGCCAACCAGTGATGCCAGGTAGAGATTTACCAGTTCTCCCAGTTCAGAGACGCGTTCCTGACTGGTGACTCAGCAGTTCATGGTCCCGCCCTGCTTTCAGTGGAACTGGAGGAGGAAACCAGACGGGTTTGCTCCAGTGAAAGCATCTGGAAATGGTTTCAGTTCTGGGCTCTGTGAGCAGACCAGCTTGGTTCTGTTAGGTTCTATTGGACCCGTTTCATTTCTAAACTCCTCCAGAAGCAGCATGACCTTCTGGCCTGTGGAGGCCGGTGACCTGCAGCACGGTGGCGTGTCTTTGGTCTGGTTCAGGTGAATTAAATGGACCAGTGGCAGAAGGTGGTGAGGAGCTGATCTATCCAGGTGTTCTGGATCAGTGACACCTGTAGAAGATCCAGGTCCAAACACTGACCTGCTGCCTCTCAGCTCCAGGGATCAGAAGACTGTCAGGGTTCTTCTTTCTGTTTTAGTTGGTTTCTTTTAGCCTGAGCAACATAAATAAACTCAAAGACGTGTCCTAGCATGACTATGAAGCTGATCCCAGTGAGAAACGAGTCCCTGGCTGTGTAGGCTGGGCAGCGATAGCCATGCTAACTATGTAGGGGCAGCATTAACCATGCTAACTATGTAGGGCCAGCGATAGCCATGCTAACTATGTAGGGCCAGCTATAGCCATGCTAACTATGTAGGGCCAGCGATAGCCACGCTAACTATGTAGGGGCAATGATAACCATGCTAACTATGTAGGGGCAGCAATAGCCATGCTAACTATGTAGGGGCAGTAATAGCCATGCTAACTCTGTAGGGCCAGCGATAGCCATGCTAACTATGTAGGGGCAGCGATAGCCATGCTAACTATGTAGGGGCAGTGATAGCCATGCTAACTCTGTAGGGGCAGCATTAACCATGCTAACTATGTAGGGGCAGCGATAGCCATGCTAACTATGTAGGGGCAGCGATAGCCATGCTAACCATGTAGGGGCAGTGATAGCCATGCTAACTCTGTAGGGGCAGCATTAACCATGCTAACTATGTAGGGGCAGCGATAGCCATGCTAACTATGTAGGGGCAGCGATAGCCATGCTAACCATGTAGGGGCAGTGATAGCCATGCTAACTCTGTAGGGCCAGCGATAGCCATGCTAACTATGTAGGGGCAGCATTAACCATGCTAACTATGTAGGGGCAGCAATAGCCATGCTAACTATGTAGGGGCAGCGATAGCCATGCTAACCATGTAGGGGCAGTGATAGCCATGCTAACTCTGTAGGGCCAGCAATAGCCATGCTAACTATGTAGGGGCAGCAATAGCCATGCTAACTATGTAGGGGCAGCAATAGCCGTGCTGACTATGTAGGGGCAGCGATAGCCATGCTAACGATGTAGGGGCAGTAATAGCCATGCTAACTCTGTAGGGCCAGCGATAGCCATGCTAACTATGTAGGGGCAGCGATAGCCATGCTGACTATGTAGGGGCAGTGATAGCCATGCTAACTCTGTAGGGGCAGCATTAACCATGCTAACTATGTAGGGGCAGCGATAGCCATGCTAACTATGTAGGGGCAGCGATAGCCATGCTAACCATGTAGGGGCAGTGATAGCCATGCTAACTCTGTAGGGCCAGCGATAGCCATGCTAACTATGTAGGGGCAGCATTAACCATGCTAACTATGTAGGGGCAGCGATAGCCATGCTAACTATGTAGGGGCAGCGATAGCCATGCTAACCATGTAGGGGCAGCGATAGCCATGCTAACTCTGTAGGGCCAGCGATAGCCATGCTAACTATGTAGGGGCAGCGATAGCCATGCTAACTATGTAGGGGCAGTGATAGCCATGCTAACTATGTAGGGCCAGCTATAGCCATGCTAACTATGTAGGGCCAGTGATAGCCACGCTAACTATGTAGGGGCAATGATAACCATGCTAACTATGTAGGGGCAGCAATAGCCATGCTAACTATGTAGGGGCAGCAATAGCCGTGCTGACTATGTAGGGGCAGCGATAGCCATGCTAACTATGTAGGGGCAGTAATAGCCATGCTGACTATGTAGGGGCAGCGATAGCCATGCTAACGATGTAGGGGCAGTAATAGCCATGCTAACTCTGTAGGGCCAGCGATAGCCATGCTAACTATGTAGGGGCAGCGATAGCCATGCTAACTATGTAGGGGCAGCGATAGCCATGCTAACTATGTAGGGGCAGCGATAGCCATGCTAACGATGTAGGGGCAGCAATAGCCGTGCTGACTATGTAGGGGCAGCTATAGCCATGCTAACTCTGTAGGGCCAGCGATAGCCATGCTAACTATGTAGGGGCAGCAATAGCCATGCTAACTATGTAGGGGCAGCAATAGCCGTGCTGACTATGTAGGGGCAGCGATAGCCATGCTAACGATGTAGGGGCAGTAATAGCCATGCTAACTCTGTAGGGCCAGCGATAGCCATGCTAACTATGTAGGGGCAGCGATAGCCGTGCTGACTATGTAGGGGCAGCGATAGCCATGCTAACGATGTAGGGGCAGTAATAGCCATGCTAACTCTGTAGGGCCAGCGATAGCCATGCTAACTATGTAGGGGCAGCGATAGCCATGCTGACTATGTAGGGGCAGTGATAGCCATGCTAACTCTGTAGGGGCAGCATTAACCATGCTAACTATGTAGGGGCAGCGATAGCCATGCTAACTATGTAGGGGCAGCGATAGCCATGCTAACCATGTAGGGGCAGTGATAGCCATGCTAACTCTGTAGGGCCAGCGATAGCCATGCTAACTATGTAGGGGCAGCATTAACCATGCTAACTATGTAGGGGCAGCGATAGCCATGCTAACTATGTAGGGGCAGCGATAGCCATGCTAACCATGTAGGGGCAGCGATAGCCATGCTAACTCTGTAGGGCCAGCGATAGCCATGCTAACTATGTAGGGGCAGCGATAGCCATGCTAACTATGTAGGGGCAGCGATAGCCATGCTAACTATGTAGGGCCAGCGATAGCCACGCTAACTATGTAGGGGCAATGATAACCATGCTAACTATGTAGGGGCAGCAATAGCCATGCTAACTATGTAGGGGCAGCAATAGCCGTGCTGACTATGTAGGGGCAGCGATAGCCATGCTAACTATGTAGGGGCAGTAATAGCCATGCTGACTATGTAGGGGCAGCGATAGCCATGCTAACGATGTAGGGGCAGTAATAGCCATGCTAACTCTGTAGGGCCAGCGATAGCCATGCTAACTATGTAGGGGCAGCGACAGCCATGCTAACTATGTAGGGGCAGCGATAGCCATGCTAACTATGTAGGGGCAGCGATAGCCATGCTAACTATGTAGGGGCAGCGATAGCCATGCTAACGATGTAGGGGCAGTAATAGCCATGCTAACTATGTAGGGGCAATGATAGCCACGCTAACTATGTAGGGGCAATGATAACCACGCTAACTATGTAGGGGCAGCAATAGCCGTGCTAACTATGTAGGGGCAGCAATAGCCGTGCTGACTATGTAGGGGCAGCTATAGCCATGCTAACGATGTAGGGGCAGCTATAGCCATGCTGACTATGTAGGGGCAGCGATAGCCATGCTAACGATGTAGGGGCAGTAATAGCCACGCTAACTATGTAGGGGCAGCGATAGCCATGCTGACTATGTAGGGGCAGCGATAGCCATGCTAACGATGTAGGGGCAGTAATAGCCATGCTAACTATGTAGGGGCAATGATAGCCACGCTAACTATGTAGGGGCAGCGATAGCCATGCTGACTATGTAGGGGCAGCGATAGCCATGCTAACGATGTAGGGGCAGCAATAGCCATGCTAACTATGTAGGGGCAATGATAGCCACGCTAACTATGTAGGGGCAGCGATAGCCACGCTAACTATGTAGGGGCAGCGATAGCCATGCTAACTATGTAGGGGCAGCGATAGCCATGCTAACTATGTAGGGGCAGCGATAGCCACGCTAACTATGTAGGGGCAGCGATAGCCACGCTAACTATGTAGGGGCAGTGATAGCCATGCTAACTATGTAGGGGCAGTGATAGCCATGCTAACTATGTAGGGGCAGCGATAGCCACGCTTACTATGTAGGGGCAGTGATAGCCATGCTAACTGTGTAGGGGCAGCGATAACCATGCTAACTATGTAGGGGCAGTGATAACCATGCTAACTATGTAGGGGCAGTGATAACCACGCTAACTATGTAGGGGCAGCGATAGCCATGCTAACTATGTAGGGGCAGTGATAACCATGCTAACTATGTAGGGGCAGTGATAACCACGCTAACTATGTAGGGGCAGTGATAACCATGCTAACTATGTAGGGGCAGTGATAACCATGCTAACTATGTAGGGGCAGTGATAACCACGCTAACTATGTAGGGGCAGCGATAGCCATGCTAACTATGTAGGGGCAGTGATAGCCATGCTAACTATGTAGGGGCAGTGATAACCATGCTAACTATGTAGGGGCAGTGATATCCATGCTAACTATGTAGGGGCAGCGATAGCCACGCTTACTATGTAGGGGCAGTGATAGCCATGCTAACTGTGTAGGGGCAGCGATAACCATGCTAACTATGTAGGGGCAGTGATAACCATGCTAACTATGTAGGGGCAGTGATAACCACGCTAACTATGTAGGGGCAGCGATAGCCATGCTAACTATGTAGGGGCAGTGATAACCATGCTAACTATGTAGGGGCAGTGATAACCACGCTAACTATGTAGGGGCAGTGATAACCATGCTAACTATGTAGGGGCAGCGATAACCATGCTAACTATGTAGGGGCAGTGATAACCACGCTAACTATGTAGGGGCAGCGATAGCCATGCTAACTATGTAGGGGCAGTGATAGCCATGCTAACTATGTAGGGGCAGCGATAACCATGCTAACTATGTAGGGGCAGTGATAACCATGCTAACTATGTAGGGGCAGTGATAACCATGCTAACTATGTAGGGGCAGTGATAACCACGCTAACTATGTAGGGGCAGCGATAGCCATGCTAACTATGTAGGGGCAGTGATAGCCATGCTAACTATGTAGGGGCAGCGATAGCCATGCTAACTATGTAGGGGCAGTGATAGCCATGCTAACTATGTAGGGGCAGCGATAACCATGCTAACTATGTAGGGGCAGTGATAACCACGCTAACTATGTAGGGGCAGCGATAGCCATGCTAACTATGTAGGGGCAGTGATAGCCATGCTAACTATGTAGGGGCAGTGCTAGCCATGCCAGTCCAGCTCCGCTCCCACCAGCAGGGCAGGAACTTGGACCTGAACATCTCTGCTTCTGCTGCTTTCTCCAACAGGATCCAGGATGCTGGAGTACGAGGGCTCTGCGTGGCATGAAGACTGCTTCCTGTGTCACGGCTGCAAGAAGCCCATCGCAGCCGAGGCCTTCATCCCTGATGACAGCAACTTCTTCTGTGTGTCGTGCTACGAGCAGAGGGTCGCTCCACGCTGCAGCCTCTGCAGAAAGGTGGAGCAGATCTGGTCCCCATCAGAAGACAAGATGTTTCAGAGTTCCTCTAATCAGCTTCTGTCAGTCCTTCTGGGTCTGCTGGTGTCCTCTAGTTGTCTCCAGCATGTCTGCCATCACAGAGAAGCTGACTGCTCCTCTGACCAGAACATCAAACATCAGGCCTCCTCTGAAGGTCCAGAGTGGAGGCCGCTCTCTGGGACTCCTCCAGCCTCCATGGCGGTCTGAGAACCGTCATGGAGGCTGGAGGAGCCACCGTGGGACCAGATCAAGCTCAGAATCAAATGTTTGCAGAGATTCTTGGATGAATTTTGAAACAGAAACAAGCTGATGAGATCGAACCAGAAACATGTTGGCTTCTTCTGATCAGCTGGAACAAAAACCAGCAGCTTTACGTTTATGGAGCCAAACGGCTCTGAGGTTTATTCTGAAACGCTTTTTATTGTTTTACTGAAATGTTTTTTTCAACTAATATAAATCTTTAACACTTTTTCAGCTTGTGTAGGGGCGGGGCTTAACTCCCAGCTGTTGCATTCAGGGGCCGTGGGAACTAGAGATGTTTTAAAGTCCAGCCCAGAAGCAAATAAGGCAACATCCCCAAGTTTCCATCAACTCGTTGCTTCGTTCGGATTCACCCGTTTTATGGTGGAAGTTTAAAATAGTGAGATTTGCAGAGAAAGAAGGAGTTGATGGGTTTGAACTTATCTCTACGTCCGTTTCACAAACTGAACTATCGTTATTAATCTATGACCCTTTAAATCACTGCAGAGGTTTTAGTTTTAGGTATAAATAATGATCCATTGATTATTCCTGCTGACCGGACTTTTCCTTTAAGCCGGTTTCTGTGGCAGAACATCTGCAGATCAGTGGATCTTCAGAACCACCGAATGCTTTTAAACAGCCTGAGGTTCTGTTGGACTCCAGTCTGGTTCTTCTGCTTCACTTTGAGGCGACAGGAAACGTCTGTGGAGTGAAAAAGCTGCAGATTCATCGTTCTGGTTCCTCCATCAGGTTTGTGTCGTTGGGAGACAGAAACCGATGGAATAAAGACAGAATCAGTGAAGCAGCGGAATCAAACTACAGACCTGCAGCTCCGGCGCTTCGACTCGCCTGATGCACAGGATGAGGTCGTTAGCGACGCCATGTTTCCCGTTTCTGCAGGTTTGATTCAGGAGTGTTGCCTTCAAGACTCTTCTAATTCCCACAGTTCCTGAATGCAGCAGCTGGGAATGTTTTGTTCTAAAAATGATTTTTTTTCCTTTAAGTTAAAATAGTTTTTCTTTCAAAATCATTTTTCAGTTTTATTTTAATTTTTTTGTTTAAAAAATGTTCCTGATCAAACCTCCGGGCTGATCCTGCCTGAGGTTTGGTTCTGACCCGGTTCTGGTTCTGCAGGCTGTGACCAAAGGAGGCGTGAAGTTCCAGGAGGAGGTTTGGCATAAAGACTGCTTCCTGTGCTGCGGCTGCAGCGCTCCGCTGGCCGGACAGTCCTTCACGTCTCAGGGGGACAGTCCTTACTGCGTCCGGTGTTTCAGCAACCTCTACGCCAACAAGTGCGCCGGCTGCAACACGCCCATCACAGGTCAGTCAACCCCACGCCCCGCCGGCGACCCGCCTCCACTCATTGCGAGCCCGGCTGCACGTCACGCGCGTCGGTTTGAGGAGCGTGACTGTGGAAAACATTCCTGTGTTTCCCACAGTCAGTCAGTCAGTCAGTCAGTCAGTCAGTCAGTCAGTCAGTCAGTCAGTCAGTCAGTCAGTCAGTGAGTCAGTCAGTCAGTCAGTCAGTCAGTCAGTGAGTCAGTCAGTCAGTCAGTCAGTCAGTCAGTCAGTCAGTCAGTCAGTCAGTCAGTCAGTCAGTCAGTCAGTCAGTCAGTGAGTCAGTCAGTCAGTCAGTCAGTCAGTCAGTGACTCACTCAATCAGTCAGTCAGTCAGTCAGTCAGTCAGTCAGTCAGTCAGTCAGTCAGTCAGTCAGTCAGTCAGTCAGTCAGTCAGTCAGTCAGTCAGTCAGTCAGTCAGTCAGTCAGTCAGTCAGTCAGTCAGTCAGTCAGTCAGTCTGTCAGTCAGTCAGTCAGTCAGTCAGTCAGTCAGTCAGTCAGTCAGTCAGTCAGTCAGTCAGTCAGTCAGTCAGTCAGTCAGTCAGTCAGTGAGTCAGTCAGTCAGTCAGTCAGTCAGTCAGTCAGTCAGTCAGTCAGTCAGTCAGTCAGTCAGTCAGTCAGTCAGTCAGTCAGTCAGTCAGTCAGTCAGTCAGTCAGTCAGTCAGTCAGTCAGTCAGTCAGTCAGTCAGTCAGTCAGTCAGTCAGTCAGTCAGTCAGTCAGTCAGTCAGTCAGTCAGTCAGTCAGTCAGTCAGTCAGTCAGTCAGTCAGTCAGTCAGTCAGTCAGTCAGTCAGTCAGTCAGTCAGTCAGTCAGTCAGTCAGTCAGTCAGTCAGTCAGTCAGTCAGTCAGTCAGTCAGTCAGTCAGTCAGTCAGTCAGTCAGTCAGTCAGTCAGTGAGTCAGTCAGTCAGTGAGTCAGTCAGTCAGTCAGTCAGTCAGTCAGTCAGTCAGTCAGTCAGTCAGTCAGTCAGTCAGTCAGTCAGTCAGTCAGTCAGTCAGTCAGTCAGTCAGTCAGTCAGTCAGTCAGTCAGTCAGTCAGTCAGTCAGTCAGTCAGTCAGTCAGTCAGTCAGTCAGTCAGTCAGTCAGTCAGTCAGTCAGTCAGTCAGTCAGTCAGTCAGTCAGTCAGTCAGTCAGTCAGTCAGTCAGTCAGTCAGTCAGTCAGTCAGTCAGTCAGTCAGTCAGTCAGTCAGTCAGTCAGTCAGTCAGTCAGTCAGTCAGTCAGTCAGTCAGTCAGTCAGTCAGTCAGTCAGTCAGTCAGTCAGTCAGTCAGTCAGTCAGTCAGTCAGTCAGTCAGTCAGTCAGTCAGTCAGTCAGTCAGTCAGTCAGTCAGTCAGTCAGTCAGTCAGTCAGTCAGTCAGTCAGTCAGTCAGTCAGTCAGTCAGTCAGTCAGTCAGTCAGTCAGTCAGTCAGTCAGTCAGTCAGTCAGTCAGTCAGTCAGTCAGTCAGTCAGTCAGTCAGTCAGTCAGTCAGTCAGTCAGTCAGTCAGTCAGTCAGTCAGTCAGTCAGTCAGTCAGTCAGTCAGTCAGTCAGTCAGTCAGTCAGTCAGTCAGTCAGTCAGTCAGTCAGTCAGTCAGTCAGTCAGTCAGTCAGTCAGTCAGTCAGTCAGTCAGTCAGTCAGTCAGTCAGTCAGTCAGTCAGTCAGTCAGTCAGTCAGTCAGTCAGTCAGTCAGTCAGTCAGTCAGTCAGTCAGTCAGTCAGTCAGTCAGTCAGTGAGTCAGTCAGTCAGTCAGTCAGTCAGTCAGTCAGTCAGTCAGTCAGTCAGTCAGTCAGTCAGTCAGTCAGTCAGTCAGTCAGTCAGTCAGTCAGTCAGTCAGTCAGTCAGTCAGTGAGTCAGTCAGTCAGTCAGTCAGTCAGTCAGTCAGTCAGTCAGTCAGTCAGTCAGTCAGTCAGTCAGTCAGTCAGTCAGTCAGTCAGTCAGTCAGTCAGTCAGTCAGTCAGTCAGTCAGTCAGTCAGTCAGTCAGTCAGTCAGTCAGTCAGTCAGTCAGTCAGTGAGTCAGTCAGTCAGTCAGTCAGTCAGTCAGTCAGTCAGTCAGTCAGTCAGTCAGTCAGTCAGTCAGTCAGTCAGTCAGTCAGTCAGTCAGTCAGTCAGTCAGTCAGTCAGTCAGTCAGTCAGTCAGTCAGTCAGTCAGTCAGTCAGTCAGTCAGTCAGTCAGTCAGTCAGTCAGTCAGTCAGTCAGTCAGTCAGTCAGTCAGTCAGTCAGTCAGTCAGTCAGTCAGTGAGTCAGTCAGTCAGTCAGTCAGTCAGTCAGTCAGTCAGTCAGTCAGTCAGTCAGTCAGTCAGTCAGTCAGTCAGTCAGTCAGTCAGTCAGTCAGTCAGTCAGTCAGTCAGTCAGTCAGTCAGTCAGTCAGTCAGTCAGTCAGTCAGTCAGTCAGTCAGTCAGTCAGTCAGTCAGTCAGTCAGTCAGTCAGTCAGTCAGTCAGTCAGTCAGTCAGTCAGTCAGTCAGTCAGTCAGTCAGTCAGTCAGTCAGTCAGTCAGTCAGTCAGTCAGTCGGTCAGTCAGTCAGTCAGTCAGTCAGTCAGTCAGTCAGTCAGTCAGTCAGTCAGTCAGTCAGTCAGTCAGTCAGTCAGTCAGTCAGTCAGTCAGTCAGTCAGTCAGTCAGTCAGTCAGTCAGTCAGTCAGTCAGTCAGTCAGTCAGTCAGTCAGTCAGTCAGTCAGTCAGTCAGTCAGTCAGTCAGTCAGTCAGTCAGTCAGTCAGTCAGTCAGTCAGTCAGTCAGTCAGTCAGTCAGTCAGTCAGTCAGTCAGTCAGTCAGTCAGTCAGTCAGTCAGTCAGTCAGTCAGTCAGTCAGTCAGTCAGTCAGTCAGTCAGTCAGTCAGTCAGTCAGTCAGTCAGTCAGTCAGTCAGTCAGTCAGTCAGTCAGTCAGTCAGTCAGTCAGTCAGTCAGTCAGTCAGTCAGTGAGTCAGTCAGTCAGTCAGTCAGTCAGTGAGTCAGTCAGTCAGTCAGTCAGTCAGTCAGTCAGTCAGTCAGTCAGTCAGTCAGTCAGTCAGTCAGTCAGTCAGTCAGTCAGTCAGTCAGTGAGTCAGTCAGTCAGTCAGTCAGTCAGTCAGTCAGTCAGTCAGTCAGTGAGTCAGTCAGTGAGTCAGTCAGTCAGTCAGTCAGTCAGTCAGTCAGTCAGTCAGTCAGTCAGTCAGTCAGTCAGTCAGTCAGTCAGTCAGTCAGTGAGTCAGTCAGTGAGTCAGTCAGTCAGTCAGTCAGTGAGTCAGTCAGTCAGTCAGTCAGTCAGTCAGTCAGTCAGTCAGTCAGTCAGTCAGTCAGTCAGTGAGTCAGTCAGTCAGTCAGTCAGTCAGTCAGTCAGTCAGTCAGTCAGTCAGTCAGTCAGTCAGTCAGTCAGTCAGTCAGTCAGTCAGTCAGTCAGTCAGTCAGTCAGTCAGTCAGTCAGTCAGTCAGTCAGTCAGTCAGTCAGTCAGTCAGTCAGTCAGTCAGTCAGTCAGTCAGTCAGTCAGTCAGTCAGTCAGTCAGTCAGTCAGTCAGTCAGTCAGTCAGTCAGTCAGTCAGTCAGTCAGTCAGTCAGTCAGTCAGTCAGTCAGTCAGTCAGTCAGTCAGTCAGTCAGTCAGTCAGTCAGTCAGTCAGTCAGTCAGTCAGTCAGTCAGTCAGTCAGTCAGTCAGTCAGTCAGTCAGTCAGTCAGTCAGTCAGTCAGTGAGTCAGTCAGTCAGTCAGTCAGTCAGTCAGTCAGTCAGTCAGTCAGTCAGTCAGTCAGTCAGTCAGTCAGTCAGTCAGTCAGTCAGTCAGTCAGTCAGTCAGTCAGTCAGTCAGTCAGTCAGTCAGTCAGTCAGTCAGTCAGTCAGTCAGTCAGTCAGTCAGTCAGTCAGTCAGTCAGTCAGTCAGTCAGTCAGTCAGTCAGTCAGTCAGTCAGTCAGTCAGTCAGTCAGTCAGTCAGTCAGTCAGTCAGTCAGTCAGTCAGTCAGTCAGTCAGTCAGTCAGTCAGTCAGTCAGTCAGTCAGTCAGTCAGTCAGTCAGTCAGTCAGTCAGTCAGTCAGTCAGTCAGTCAGTCAGTCAGTCAGTCAGTCAGTCAGTCAGTCAGTCAGTCAGTCAGTCAGTCAGTCAGTCAGTGAGTCAGTCAGTCAGTCAGTCAGTCAGTCAGTCAGTCAGTCAGTCAGTCAGTCAGTCAGTCAGTCAGTCAGTCAGTCAGTCAGTCAGTCAGTCAGTCAGTCAGTCAGTCAGTCAGTCAGTCAGTCAGTCAGTCAGTCAGTCAGTCAGTCAGTCAGTCAGTCAGTCAGTCAGTCAGTCAGTCAGTCAGTCAGTCAGTCAGTCAGTCAGTCAGTCAGTCAGTCAGTCAGTCAGTCAGTCAGTCAGTCAGTCAGTCAGTCAGTCAGTCAGTCAGTCAGTCAGTCAGTCAGTCAGTCAGTCAGTCAGTCAGTCAGTCAGTCAGTCAGTCAGTCAGTCAGTCAGTCAGTCAGTCAGTCAGTCAGTCAGTCAGTCAGTCAGTCAGTCAGTCAGTCAGTCAGTCAGTCAGTCAGTCAGTCAGTCAGTCAGTCAGTCAGTCAGTCAGTCAGTCAGTCAGTCAGTCAGTCAGTCAGTCAGTCAGTCAGTCAGTCAGTCAGTCAGTCAGTCAGTCAGTCAGTGAGTCAGTCAGTCAGTCAGTCAGTCAGTCAGTCAGTCAGTCAGTCAGTCAGTCAGTCAGTCAGTCAGTCAGTCAGTCAGTCAGTCAGTCAGTCAGTCAGTCAGTCAGTCAGTCAGTCAGTCAGTCAGTCAGTCAGTCAGTCAGTCAGTCAGTCAGTCAGTCAGTCAGTCAGTCAGTCAGTCAGTCAGTGAGGATGAGTGTGATGAGGAAGAGGAAGCAGGTTCATCCAATCCAGTCTAACAGCTTTTATTCCAGTTGGTTCTGGATTTAGCTCCATCCATCTGACCAGCTTCCTGTCCCACAGCATGATGCAGCCACCTCCTAGTTTCACTGTGGGGAGGCTGTAGCTTTGCTTTGGTCTCCTGTCATGCTTTTCGTTTTCCGAACCGTTTCTGTGAAACTGAAACTCCAACAAGTCGCCGTCCCACCTGAGCGTTGGATCTCTGCGGCTCCTCCTGAGTGGCTGCCTCTCTGCTTACCGCTGTCCCCGTCCAGCCTGTCGGTCCAGGTGGACGTCCATGTCCTGGTGGGTCAGATGATGGGTGGACGTCCTTCATGTTTTCTCTCCGATTGATCATGTTTGGTTTTACGGGAAGATCTATGTGACATAGATCTATATCTGTTGATCTATGTGTGTCTCCTTGCTGCAGGCTTCGGCGACGGGAAGTACGTCTCCTTTGAGGAGCGCCAGTGGCACCAGCCGTGCTTCAAGTGTTCCCGCTGCTCCGTGTCGTTGGTGGGCTCCGGGTTCTTCCCGGACCGGGACCAGATTCTGTGCAAAGACTGCAACGGCGACGACTGACGATCCGCAGGCAGCAGAACCTCAGCTCGGCGCCGCCGTGCTAGCCCCGCAGGTCCGAAGCAGCCTGCAGAACCAGAATCATTAAAGGTGTGATCAATCCAGAACCGGTACCGTGCTTTTGTTAACCAATCATCTGATCGGGTTCTGGAGATGATTTTTATACCAGACTCCTAAAACCCAGCAGCCTCTGCAGCCCAACCAGAACCAGAACCTTGGCTGCTTCCAGCATCATGGTTCTGATGGGTCCGGTCCACCATCAGTCCGGTAAGGAAGCAGGTCGGCTTCTTTAGCCTTCATGAGCCTCAAGATCCAACTGCTTCCTGTCAGACGATCACCGCAGGAAGGTTCTGCAGAACCTCCAGCAGGAACTGGGATCCTGGCATCTGAAGGAGGTCGTTCAGCCAAGAGGAGCCGCTGCTGAGGAGGTCCATCTGATGGGAATGGTTCTGGATTCTGGTCCATGTCAGGAACACCCTGGGCTCCTCCAGGAGAACATCTGGGCTGGTTCTGGTGGATCTGCTTCCTCCATCATCACTAATTCACAGTTTCTGCTCTCAGCAGCAGAGTTCACCGTAACCATGGCGATAGGAAACTATCAGGAGGTCAGAATGGAAGAGAAAGATTCAGTTTTAACATTTTCAATAAGATGATGATGTAATGATGTTAGTTCAGATCTAGTTTCATAGTTCTGTCCAGGTTAGTCTAGTTTCAATCATAGTTTTAGTCCTGAACTGTTTTTAAATCTGATCTTAGTCTCAGTCTTACCTTCAGTAAGAGGAACCGGGCTGGAGCGGTTCTGTGGGACGGCGGAGGTCCGCTTCATGTAGATACGTGTCGATCAGAGAGGATGAAGAACTGAGCTCCTAGATTCATGGTTTATAGATCTATGTTTATAAATTAGAAATGTGTCTAATAGTGGATTGCATGAAACTCTGGTGGCTCCACCTGGGCCCAGCGATGGCGCCGCTACGCCCCCTGCTGGTGGGTTCAGCAGATCCATGGACGGAACTAGAACTTTAAACCTGCTTCTGACCAGGCCAAGGTCTCTGGGTCCGTTGCCATAGTAACCGGGTCGTCTTGGCTGGGTTTTTACCGTCAGAACCAGATGTTTGTTCTTAGACTTCCTGTCCGGGTTCCCATGACTCCTCCTCAGATGTTTGACCTCACTGGGCCCCAGGAGGAAGCTGCTGGTTCGTCATCATCAGCGTAGGCTCCACCTCCAGACTGAGATGAAGATGTCTTCAGACCATCATCATCATCAGGATGCAGGCTGCTGCTGGACACAGAACCGACCCTGATGATGAATCCTCCACTAATCAAGCCGTGAACTTCAGAACCTCATGATCCACACCTCCAGGTTTCTGCTGTGGAGTCCTGATCCGGTCCTTCCCCAGAACCGATCCAGCCGGGAACCTAATTTATTAATATAGTAGAAATTTAAAACACATCATGTCAAAGTATTTAAAAAAAAAGTCAATTAAACCCAATAATACTTGAAACAAAACAATATTTTTTGAATAATATTCAAAGCAAAAGTAAGGAATATCAGAGCAGGAAGGCTTCGTTATATATGTAAATATATAAATACTTAGAAATAACTGAAATCTGCCTTTATTAAAGTTTCATAAATCAAAAAAAGGTTTCAGAAAACTTAAATATTCTACAACTAATTTAGAATAATCTATTCCAGATTTATGGTGAATTAAAGATCATGAATGTAGTGAATAATTAGGTGAAATCGCCTTTATTCATTATAAATTTGCCATAAATGAGATTTAATTTCTAAACAGTTCCTCAGAAATCAGAGACAATATTTAATATTTAGTAACCTGCAGACAGACTCTCCCTCCATGTTCTAATGTTTCTTTATGGCCACAGTGAACCTGACTTTAAAACCTACTGAATGTAAGCTAGATATTAGTTACCTAGAATAGGATCTACATATTTACAGTCTGCTTTTCCACCTGCTGTGGAGATCTGCTCTGAGTTTTCTGTGTTTTGCAGATCAGGACTTTAAGCCTGCAGGGAGTTTTAATCAATCTAAACAACAAACAGTTTCCATGGATTTCTATGTTAGAGCTACATGGATGATGATAGAAAATAAGAGATTGTTTGCTGGAAACTAGAAGCTCAGGACTGTTTGCAGCCTAATGAGTTCAATAATATTTAACTAAAAGTTCATCTTTGCCTCCTTTGTGCTCTTTAGCTAAGAAGCAGGATTTACACCAGAGATCCAGACGCAAAGCTGGGGGGGCAGTGGCGGCCTAGTGGTCAGGGCATAGAGCTTGGAACCCAGAGGCTCTGAGTTCGAGTCCCACTGCCACTCTGGGTCCCTGAGCAAAGACCTTTAACCCCACCTGTGGCAATAACAATACAATGCTGGAGAAAAAACTAAAACTGAGATTAGTTTTAATCTACAGACTGTTTTTCAAATTCCAAAAAACTTAAAATCAATCCTCTGGACTTTGTTTCCAAGTTTGAAGACGTTTCTCTTCCATCCAGAAAGATTTTTCAATCCAAAATGTCAGAAATAGCGTTTAGTTCCAGGTTTTATCCAGCAGCCCAACAAAGCCTGGTTTTAGTTTAGAAACGGATGAACGGGTCCCCCCCTTTGGAATGGGGGTCGTTTGGCTTCTTTATTAGCCTCCAATGCCCCATACCTGTCTATGTCTCTGAAAGGGGGGAGGGTCGTTAGAGGGAATAGTTGGCCTGGATGAACAGGTGAGGTCAATGTAAAGGGAGTTAGGTTGTTTTTAAAATTAAAAGAAAATAAATCACTTTACATTCAAAACTAATAGGATAAGAAAAACAAACAGTTTTAAATGGAATTTATAAATATTTTATCTACAGTGAAAGATTTTTCTTTAAACGAGTTTCAGAGAGTTAACCGTTCAGGCAGGCAGGTCTGTGATTAAAGAGGACGACCTGTTTCACCTTAATAAAACTAAATCAGACACGTCTGCTTAGAAAACAGAAAACATAGATCTCATTTATAGATGAGAAATGATGTAGAAAGTTTCCTCAGGTGTTAGAAATGAAGCATCCAGAGTTCCAGGTTGGAGCTCTGCAGATCCGATGATGGCTGCTCTGCTCCAGCGTCCTGTCCTTCCTCCTCTCAGACCGTTTAAACTCCTCCATGATGCAGTTTGGTGCTTTTTAAGCGGCTCTCCAAGGAACGCCGCTGGTTTCAGAGCATCAGAAGGAACAAACCTCCTGCTGCAGCTTTTAAGACGTTTCTGTTTGAACTTTGAAGCTGAATGAGCTCCATCTTTAAGTAAATTACTCCACAAAGCTGCTTGTTAATGACCTGATCCTTTGACTCAGGTGTGTGACGCAGGATCCAGGTGCGTCGGCCCTCCAGGACTGATTCAGATGCTGCAGGTTAGCAAAGCTGGTTAATCAGCCAACGATTAAAAGACCAGAATGTTGGAAACGTCTAAAAACGCAGATCAGAGCTCCTGAAGGAGCGACGCTGGAAAACACAGCGATGATCAGCAGGATTCAATCACCTGAGCTGAACCCTGTAGATCACTATATTTAGGTCCATCACAGATTTCACCATCAAGGTTTTTATCACGCATTAATACAGGCGTTCTACAGTCACTACAGAGTTTAGACTTTTTAACCATCTTAACAATCCAGATATTTAAATAGTAAAAAACAGGAAATAACTGTTAATAAACTTCACCTCTAAAATCTAGAAGAGGAAAAACAATAAAAACTGTGTGCAGAATTATTAAATAAATTATTATTTCCACCATATCATCCTTTCATACATGTTGTCCTCCTCCAAGCTGTAGAGGCTCTCTGTAATGAGAAGGGGCGTGGCCTAATGACATCATGCTTAATTATTAGGCAACTTCCTTTCCTTTGGCAAAATGGGTCAGAAAAGAGATTTGACTCTGAAAAGTCAACAATGGTCAGATGTCTTTCGGGGGGGGGGGCAGCAGTTTGGAAATAATGAAGCTTTTGAAGCGGGATCATCAAACAATCAAGCGGTTCATGGCAAATAGCCAACAGGGGAACAAGAAGCGTGTTGAAAAACGAAGACGCTAAATAAAAAGAATTGAGAAGGATGAAGCGTGAAGCTGCCAGGAAGCCATCAGCCACCAGTTGTTCCATATTTCAGAGCTGCAACATGTCTGGAGCGCCGAGAAGCACAAGGTGCTCAATCCTCAGGGACCTGGCCAAGGTAAGGAACGCTGAAAAAAGGCCACATTTGAACAAGACGCACGAGACAAAACGTCAAGATTGGACCAAGAAATCTCTGCAGACTGATTCCTCTGAGGTGTTTGGGTCTGATGGATGAGAGTGAGTCTAGATGGTCCAGATGGATGGATGGGCACCAGGCTGGATCAGTAAAGGGCAGAACGTTCCTTATCCACTCAGACACCAGCAAGGTGGAGGTGGGGTAATGCTATGGGCTGCTATCATCAAAGATGAGCCTGTGGGACCTTTTCAGGTTGATGATGGAGTCCAGATCAACTCCCAGACCTGCTGCCAGTTTCTGGAAGACGCCTTCTTCAAACAGCAGAACAAGAAGAAGTCGCCATCATTCCAGAAACACCTGATATTCCTGCAGGACGATGCTCCGTCACACGCATCAGAATACACCACAGCGTGGCGGCCAGGAAAAGGCTAAAAGGGTCACCTGATCTGAACCCCATGGAGAACCTGTGGTCCTTCATGAAAGGTGAGATCTACAGGGAGGGAGAACAGGGAGGCTGCTGCACGCCATGAGGATCGCACACAGATCAAGACTCTGACAGAATCTATGGATGGAGGATTTAGAGCGTCATGGTGGAGAAAGGAGGATAGATTGGTCACTGGGTTGGTTTTTATTTATTTTTTGAATGTTGCAAATGTTTATTTCTGAATTTTCAGTTGTTATATTGGTTTATCTGGTGAAAATAAACAAGATGGGTATAAATTAGTTTATTACGTTGATTAATAATTCTGCACAGTAATATTTACCTGCAAACACAGACGTCCTCATTAAATGAATCTAAAATAAAAACATCAACTTCCAAATATATGAAACTTTGATATTAAGGAGTCTTTGGGGTTGATTGAGAACATATGTGGCCCAATAATAAAAATAATCCTGAAAAATACAACTTTCCTAATAATTCTGGTGCAGATCAAGTATCTGCATAATAGAAAACTTTTTAAATGATGAAGTTCCTCTCAGAATTAAACAGGACCGTTCTACCTGCTGTCATCTGCTCTCTGGATGTGAGTCGATAATTAATCCAGTTTTTATATCTGTTGGTGGCAAAGATCTGGGAATAAAATGATGCGCGTCCTTCTGCTGAGAACAGAGAGGAATATTTTGATAAGGCTGCAGCCATGGAGGCCTCCTCATCTGCTAACATGTTTGATTTAACGATGTGATGATATAACGACGTAATGATGTAATAATGTGTCAGACTGCAGATTCATTAAATGCCTTTTTAACTGTTAATTGAGGCGACATCCTGAGGTGAGCAGCTTCCTGATCTCAGTTCAGAGTTTCTATCAGAATCTGTTCTCATGTCTCCTGGTTATTTAACATATTTAAGGTATAAAGTTTTATTTAAAGCGTTTTTACCGAGTGATTTCCTTTCAGGGAAAAGAACCGGAGAGAGAAAGCTCCAAGGTGAACATAGAGCCTCTCTTTAACACCTTCCATACTTTCAGAACCAGATCAGATCCGATTCCATCATCTCTGGCGCCACCTGCTGGTTAACAGCTTCTACCACGTTGTTCCTCTTTTCATGTATAAAACATCAGCCTGACGGACGGACAGAACTTTAAAATAACAGCATGGAAGAGGAGATGGTGGGAACCGTGTGGAGAGCCCGGTACCGACCCGGACGGTCCGGTTCTGGTATCGCTGCCGTCTGTTTGTGTTCCTGTTAGCTTAGACATTCCTGCCAGACAAGAATCTGCCCCGAGGCAGGAACCAAAACACTGATAACATCTGGAAAAACCCAAACTCCCTTTGGACCGGAAGGCTCAGAACCAGAACCAGAACCAGCAGAAATGTGTTTCACACTTTTATTGGTTTTCTGAAAAACAAACGGCTCATAAATGTGACGCTAAACAATAAATACAGACCAGGAGGCCTGATGAAACAGTGGTTCTGATCCGGCGGGTCCAGACAGAACCGGGATACAAGGCGGGAATGTTTACAGGACAACAACAGGCATCAAAGTCCAGGAGTTCGTGGGTCTAACGGAGAGTTCTGGTTCCTCAGGTGGAATAATCCTGCAGGACAGAAACCGGACCGGATCAGGAAACCAGAACTTCTGCTGGATCTTAAAGGTGCGTCTGGATACTCACAGCTCTGGGCTTCTTGTTGACCTTCATGTCAAACCTGCAAAGAACACAAAGTGACCCGATTAGATGTTTCCACCGGACCAGCAGGAGGTTCCTGATGGGGAGACGATGGAGCCACTACAGAACCATGAAGAACCAAACGTTCAAGAGCAGGAAGATCTGATGAAGGCAGGCATGCATCTGCAAGCAGAGGAGGAAGCATGCAGAGCGGAGCGGAGCGGAGCAGGCGGCGTCCAGCAGAGCAAACGGAGAGCAGGCAGGAAGTGGAAGAAAAATCCAGACTTACTCAAAGTCATAATCAAACATGGCGGAAGGGCTGAGGGGGCGGCGTTATGGGAGGAGAGAGCAGCAGCTGTTAGTGGAACGCAGACACCGACGTCCTCACAGCATCACAGAGCAGAGGGGCCCTCAGAGGGGCCCCCACCCTCGAACACGTTCCCCCACCCCCCCACCGTTCTATGGAGGGAGCACGTTCCCCCACCATTCTATGGAGGGAACACGTTCCCCCACCCCCCCACCGTACTATGGAGGGAACACGTTCCCCCACCGTTCTACGGAGGGAACACGTTCCCCCACCCCCCCACCGTTCTATGGAGGGAGCACGTTCCCCCACCATTCTATGGAGGGAACACGTTCCCCCACCCCCCCACCGTACTATGGAGGGAACACGTTCCCCCACCCCCCCACCGTTCTATGGAGGGAGCACGTTCCCCCACCATTCTATGGAGGGAACACGTTCCCCCACCCCCCCACCGTACTATGGAGGGAACACGTTCCCCCACCCCCCCACCGTTCTATGGAGGGAGCACGTTCCCCCACCATTCTATGGAGGGAACACGTTCCCCCACCCCCCCACCGTTCTATGGAGGGAACACGTTCCCCCACCCCCCCACCGTTCTATGGAGGGAGCACGTTCCCCCACCATTCTATGGAGGGAACACGTTCCCCCACCCCCCCACCGTACTATGGAGGGAACACGTTCCCCCACCGTTCTACGGAGGGAACACGTTCCCCCACCCCCCACCGTTCTATGGAGGGAACACGTTCCCCCACCCCCCCACCGTTCTATGGAGGGAACACGTTCCCCCACCCCCCCCACCGTTCTATGGAGGGAGCACGTTCCCCCACCATTCTATGGAGGGAACACGTTCCCCCACCCCCCCACCGTACTATGGAGGGAACACGTTCCCCCACCCCCCCACCCGTTCTATGGAGGGAGCACGTTCCCCCACCATTCTATGGAGGGAACACGTTCCCCCACCCCCCCCACCGTACTATGGAGGGAACACGTTCCCCCACCCCCCCCACCGTTCTATGGAGGGAGCACGTTCCCCCACCATTCTATGGAGGGAACACGTTCCCCCACCCCCCCCACCGTTCTATGGAGGGAACACGTTCCCCCACCCCCCCCACCGTTCTATGGAGGGAGCACGTTCCCCCACCATTCTATGGAGGGAACACGTTCCCCCACCCCCCCACCGTACTATGGAGGGAACACGTTCCCCCACCGTTCTACGGAGGGAACACGTTCCCCCACCCCCCCACCGTTCTATGGAGGGAACACGTTCCCCCACCCCCCCACCGTTCTATGGAGGGAGCACGTTCCCCCACCATTCTATGGAGGGAACACGTTCCCCCACCCCCCCACCGTACTATGGAGGGAACACGTTCCCCCACCCCCCCACCGTACTATGGAGGGAACACGTTCCCCCACCATTCTATGGAGGGAACACGTTCCCCCACCCCCCCACCGTACTATGGAGGGAACACGTTCCCCCACCGTTCTACGGAGGGAACACGTTCCCCCACCCCCCACCCCCCCACCGTTCTACGGAGGGAACACGTTCCCCCACCGTTCTACGGAGGGAACACGTTCCCCCACCGTTCTACGGAGGGAACACGTTCCCCCACCGTTCTACGGAGGGAACACGTTCCCCCACCGTTCTACGGAGGGAACACGTACCCCCACCGTTCTATGGAGGGAACACGTTCCCCCACCCCCCCACCGTTCTATGGAGGGAACACGTTCCCCCACCATTTTATGGAGGGAACACGTTCCCCCACCCCCCCACCGTTCTATGGAGGGAACACGTTCCCCCACCCCCCACCGTTCTACGGAGGGAACACGTTCCCCCACCGTTCTATGGAGGGAACACGTTCCCCCACCGTTCTATGGAGGGAACACGTTCCCCCACCGTTCTATGGAGGGAACACGTTCCCCCACCGTTCTATGGAGGGAACACGTTCCCCCACCGTTCTATGGAGGGAACACGTTCCCCCACCGTTCTATGGAGGGAACACGTTCCCCCACCGTTCTATGGAGGGAACACGTTCCCCCACCCCCCCCACCGTTCTACGGAGGGAACACGTTCCCCCACCCCCCACCGTTCTACGGAGGGAACACGTTCCCCCACCGTTCTATGGAGGGAACACGTTCCCCCACCGTTCTATGGAGGGAACACGTTCCCCCCACCGTTCTATGGAGGGAACACGTTCCCCCACCGTTCTATGGAGGGAACACGTTCCCCCACCCCCCCACCGTTCTATGGAGGGAACACGTTCCCCCACCCCCCCACCGTTCTATGGAGGGAACACATTCCCCCACCCCCCCCCACCGTTCTACGGAGGGAACACGTTCCCCCACCCCCCCCCACCGTTCTACGGAGGGAACACGTTCCCCCACCCCCCACCGTTCTACGGAGGGAACACGTTCCCCCCACCCCCCACCGTTCTATGGAGGGAACACGTTCCCCCACCCCCCCCACCGTTCTATGGAGGGAACACGTTCCCCCCACCCCCCCACCGTTCTATGGAGGGAACACGTTCCCCCACCATTCTATGGAGGGAACACGTTCCCCCACACCCCCACCGTTCTATGGAGGGAACACATTCCCCCACCCCCCCCCACCGTTCTACGGAGGGAACACGTTCCCCCACCATTCTATGGAGGGAACACGTTCCCCCACCCCCCCACCGTTCTATGGAGGGAACACATTCCCCCACCCCCCCCCACCGTTCTACGGAGGGAACACGTTCCCCCACCCCCCCCCACCGTTCTACGGAGGGAACACGTTCCCCCACCCCCCCACCGTTCTACGGAGGGAACACGTTCCCCCACCCCCCACCGTTCTATGGAGGGAACACGTTCCCCCACCCCCCCACCGTTCTATGGAGGGAACACGTTCCCCCACCCCCCACCGTTCTATGGAGGGAACACGTTCCCCCACCATTCTATGGAGGGAACACGTTCCCCCACACCCCCCACCGTTCTATGGAGGGAACACATTCCCCCACCCCCCCCCCACCGTTCTATGGAGGGAACACGTTCCCCCACCCCCCCACCAGGTTCGGCCCACAGAAACGTAAAACCAGAACCATGCAGAAAACTTCTGCTTCATTTAGATCTTTTAAAATCCATAAAATCTGTTTGATTTTTCTAGTCTTGGACCTGGAACCGCTCCAGAACCTTCATTAGACCCAGCAGAACCTCTGACCCGTCCCTGAAAGGTCCCCTACAGCTGAGGTACGACTGACCCAGTCCGGGTTCTGGAGCGTAGAAGAACCGGGTCTGAGGAACCGGACCTCCACCCTAAACGTCCTTCTACAGACCAGAGATCCAGAACCAGATCTGGACCTGGAGCTTCCAGAACCACGGAGCGGACCAGGAGGAAAGGTTCAGCAGGAACCGGACCACAGAGGAAGTTCTGGTTCCAGTTTGCTGAAGTCCAGAACCCGGTTTGAGAGGATCTACTGGAACCGGCTCCAGGTTTCCTGCTACCTGGACCCACCGGGCCTGACAGAACCGTACCTGTGTCTGTTCTTGTTCTTCCTCTTCTTGTTGGGGTTGCCATGGTGACTGCTGGATGACGAGGAGGAAGCAGCTTTCTGAGGCTTCAGGTCCTGCAGCGCCGAGTCCATGTCCTCCGTGTCCTCCTGACTCGGTTCGTTCTCCTGGTTCTGAAGATCCGGAGAGGCGTCGCTCTCCGTCCCGCTGCCGGCTTCACCTGAGGTCATGGGAGAGAAGATCAGAACGCGCAGGAAAACATCGTCCGGCGGCGTCGCAGGTCCAGCCTACTCACGCTTTTCGTTCATGTGGTCGGGGATCCCTCCGAGCGCGCAGACCGCCTGCCAACCAGAACACAGCCGTGTGATGAGTGGGGCGGAGTTCTGTCAGCTCAGCATACGCCGTCAGGCCAGCATACCCTCAGTAATACGCCACAGTGAGCATCCGCTGCGCTCCTCACAGCCAACGGCTTTTAGCGTTTATGGATAAAAAACTCCTTCACTAGGTCCACAGCAGGGCAGCGGGAAAATCCTTTAGGTAATTTATGGTGATTTCTGTCTGCCCGACATAATATCCACCATTTAGTTCCTAGTATTGATTTATTTTAAGCTAAACATTTCTACCTAAAACTGAGGGGAAACGGGTTCAGTCTGGCAGGTGGCGCTGTGGAGCCCTTTAGCTGAGCGGCGCAGCAACGTACGGCGCTCACGGTGGACGACGGGGACTGACTCAGAAAAACGGAAACCAGAAGAACCGAACGCTGAATTTCATCTGATGAACGTTTACAGAAGTTACTTTTTTATCTGTTTAATTTTGATAACAGGAAAGATGTTTCCATAGTGATAATATTGGATCGTGAAACCCAAGAAATACTCACCACTATCAACGACATGCATTAAAAAAGGACATTACACGTCCGTTTGATGAGGATCTTATTAAAGAATGATTGGGATTCTTTATTTAACAGAGAATTAAATATTCATAAGAAGATTCTACAACTGGACAGGAGATTTATTAGCTTTTAGTTTAATTCGAGCAACATGCAGATCATTTTATTTATTTATTCTTAGAGTACATGATGAAATACTGAGATTATTTTCAGATTACGCATCAATAGATTCATTTATTCCATGTGGGAAAAGGAATCACTTAGGATTAACTGGATAATAAAAACCTACTGGCTATGGGACTGATGGCCGCTGATAACGACCACGCGTATCACTGTGGGTAACCTGAGCTGACAGAACATCAGATCAACCAGAGCAGAACAGGAAGAGGACTTACTGCCACTGATGTTACCGAGGACTTGCTGAACAGACGCTCCGCTTCCTTAAATTTACGGTTCCTTCTGTCAGTTTTACTGTTGGAGTTCCTGGTAAAAACAACAAGTTTTATTTCATTGGATTATAAAGCTGCCGGTTCCACTAAGCCCAGACTAAAGAACGGCTTCGTTTCCCTTCATGGTGGAAGCTCTTACTTCTGGTTGGTCAGGTATCTGTCCCATCCTCTGATGATGTTTCCGTACATCTGGGTGTCTTCCAGGTAGCTGCCCTCGAAAGCATAAATCTGCCTCTCCAGGTTCACCAGAGTCTCCTGTTGGGTTGAAGGAAACTGGAGGTCAGAGGTCAGAGTGAAGGTCTGTAGTTTGACCCCAGTAGGTCAACGCAGGAAATTTTAATGTCGAGATCAACCATCTTTAAACAATGGTTGTTTCTCACTATGTGTACTTGTGCTGTCTCGTGTTCTCGTGAAACGTCATCAGCCTCAGCACTAGTACTGTTCTAATTCACAAGAACAGCAGACTGAGAACGGACAAAGTCCCCGGATGTTGTTCTCGCCCCTCCTTCTTTACCCAGCATGCATCAGAGCAGAGTTGTCTGTTCTCCAGACTGACAGCTGTCCCAGCATGCACTGCTGCAGCAGCTTCCAGGTTAGCGCTCACAGAGCTCAGAGGATTAAGTTAAAAGTTCACTTTTCTGTTGTTCAATAAAAGTTTTAAGATCATTTGAGGCGAGAAAATTAAGCTTCACTATATGGAACATTTACTGATTTAAAACATGATTTAAAAAAGTTCAGCTGCTGAGAGGAGAGCCGCAACCAGTGGACCTCTAAGGCTAACCACAGCCAGAGCTAACGTTAGCCCTGGCTGCTGCAGACGAGCTAATGTCTGCGGCATCCAGACGTCGGCATCCAACCAGACTGTGACTGTTTGAAGGTTCACTGATGTAAGACGCTGCCATTTAATGATTTAAACGCAGAAGTAAGTTTTTAACAGCCATTTTAAAACATGCAGGCACGATAAAGGAATAAACTACGGCTGATTGGACGATGGTTTTCTTTTCCGCTTACAGTCTGCTTTATAATTGGTGGACAAAAATAGATTTGTATTTCAGCAAATGATCAGTCTGAGCTCCTTCCTGTTTCCCCTGGGATTTTATTGGTTTAAATTTGATTCACTCCAACTCATGGCAATTATCAGCAGATGCCTTTTTTTTATTTTTACCTAAACACCGTTTTAAATTACTCTGGTTTTCCTGATATGACAGAGAAATTACTAAAAACCATAAATCTAGTTAATATAAGCTAGAAAGTGTTTTCCCCTGTATTTAGGGAATTACATGAGGTCAGTACTTCTTTAGTTACTTTTAGCTCTTTAATAAAGACTAGTATATCCGCCCTATCCCTGTTAATGGTTTATCATCTAAAGAAATAAATAAAATTATCAGCAATTTTACCTGAAAAAAAAAGAAACCTTTTGAAGAATGAAATTCTTAAATCTCCCAAAATACAAGGATTTGATTCATTACATTTAGATGACTCACCTTTAAAATAAGATGGAATGTCTCAAAACCCAAAAATCCTTTTTCATTGTGAATATTTTTTTAAAATTTGGTTGGTCTACATTATCTACTCACTGATAATTACAGTGTTACAAAATTACCTTTAAAACTCAGAATAATGAAAATGTTACCATCAGGAAAAAGTCCTTATTTATACAGACCTGGGTTGATATAAACATTATTTTTTAATGTGACCCTTTTTGATTCTCATGGTATAATTCTTAGTCCTTTTCTGTCACATACAAAGAATTAGTCACGTAACTAAGACTATCACTAATGGTCCCTCTCTCCTGATCCGGAGACATTTCCAGTATAACCAAGAATAAAACATCTTCTAATGATAAATGATTCTGACCTACTGGACTCAAAGTGCAACAACAAACAAATAAATACATCTTTCTACGAAAAGAGGATAAATCCAGGAGGAAAAGCATTTTGGGATAACATTAGAAGAACTGTATAATTAATATAAGATAAAGGAGATTCCCATCAAAGTTCTACACATTATAGATCCAACAAATTTATATTTTTCTAAATTCTCAGATAATGAAGAAAAATGCGTTTATGGAACCAGAAACCTTATGGGCCGGATTTATCAAGATCCAATTTTGCGTGCAGTAATTTGCGCTCGCAAAGTGGAATTTTGCGCGAGGGGCTGAACCATGGTTTGCGGGTGATTTAACAAGAGCGATTGCGTAACTGGTGGCAGGTGCAAAACTGTTGGAGACGCCCTATTTAAATGATGGTTTTGCGCGTTTTGTGGTTTGCGGCAAAGTAGTTTGTAGCTTGTGCAAACTAGTGCATTAAGAAATTTTAATCTTACAGTGACACCACCCCCTCCAAAAAAAGAAATATATATATATATATATATATATATATAAACTTTGGCAACCTTTATTCCCTAAGGTGGTATGTGGCTGAATTTCTACTTCACCGCAGTAAGAAAAAAACACACAAACAAAAATAAAACAGGTGTTTTTTATCGGCCTGTAGAAAAATGCACATACCAAATGGCTCACAAGAAGTGACTGTGGATAAGATGACTGCATTGGCATGTTGCTCCACAGGCGCAGGGTGTCGGGGTTCTCCGGTAGGGCGTCAGGGCGACATGGCATTTAGAACGTCGGACAGCACTTCTGAAAAACGAGATTGGGAGATCCCAGATGCAAAAAAGTGCAATGTTGCAAGGAGTTTCGTGATATCTGGTATTGCGTGGGTCCTCCTTGTGGCTGGCTCCAAATCCATTCGGAGTTCCCCCAACAGCTCCAAAATGGCAATGCTGGATAAACGATATGTTTTGATGATCGTTTCCTCGTTCATTCCAAAAATATTCACACGGAGTGAAAAAATGCGTTCTCTGCGTCTCCTTGCTTCATTTCGATTTCTCCTTCTTGCGACAATAACCGCTGCCATGTGTGCGCAATTACGCATACAGACCATTTGCACCTTCTTTTGAAACGTGTTAAATATAGAGTCAGATACCGTTAGCAAAATTGCTTTCAGGTTTGATAAATCACTTTGCGAGTGCTAAATTAATATATTTACATGTTCTCCTCCCACAAGACGCACTTTTGCGTGTAAACGCCCTATATTGAATATTCATTGCAGAAAACGTACTAAATGGATAAGAGACGCTATTTAGCACGTTTTAAAGACCAAATCCTTTTAGCACGCTGTTGATAGATCAGTTTGTACATTTTTTTGCGTGCGCAGTGAAATAGCTCACGTTTTAATACACGCAAACCTTTGATAAATCCGGCCCTATGTGATTTATTCTATAGATGTTTGGACTCTTCCTGAATGATATATAACCTCTAAACTCAAAGCATAGATTGAATGTGAGACTGTAATACTGCATTTTACCGCTGGAGACATTAATGTTAGTTTATCACAAACCTGCTCATTTTAATGGATCATTTCATAAACACAAATGTAAATATATATCAAAAAGTAAATAAAATCCCTTCCTTTTCTAAACCAAATAATACTTTTTCTAAGGTTTTTTGTTTTTTTGTATGTATTTTAATTTAGAGAACATTTCTATTTTTCTTATTTATAATTTTTTGGAAAATATTTTCAATAAAAACACCAAAAAAAAAAAAAAACGGGGGGTGGGGGTAGAATTAAATCATCGCGAGATTTCAGTGATGCCGTTGGCGGCTCTACGCAGCGATGCTAACTGCTAAATCAGGCCTTTGATCTAATGTATCTCCAATGTTTCCAGACCAATTAGCGGGTTAGTCTGTATGTATCGCTGCGGTCCATCGCTGTTTCGTTCATGCTGTTAAACATTTATTAATTCGATATAAATGGAAGGAAACAATAAACAGAGCTGCTAGCGGGAGCTAACGGCTACTATTAGCCTCCGTTAGCCTAGCATGCAGGCCTCAGATGGTGGCAGATGAATCCGCTTCTACTCACCGCTAGCTCCTGTTTCCTCTTCACCAGCTCCGCCAGTTCCCTCCTGGTGTCTGGGATCTGCGGTGGGGTCGCCTTAGCGTGCATCGCCATGACGGATAAACCTTCTGGATCAGATGCAGGCGGAGGAGGCAGAGGCAGAGGCAGAGGCAGGTAGCGGGCTGCTGTGGTCACTGCGGAGCAGGGTACCGATACATCCTGCAGGGGGCGCTCCAGACCGCAGCAGGACTGTTACCATGACAACAGCAGAAGCTCTTATAACGCGCCTACTAATTAGTTTGTGATGATTTTATGAAATATGAGCAGAAAATACGACATTTATAGACAATATATTCATTTGTTTTCATTATCGCGTTAAATTAGATTAATAAACAACTGAATTAGTTAAAAACAGTTTTATTACAAATAAATGCAAAGAAAGAGCTGCCATCATCCATCCATCCATCATCCATCCATCCATCCATCATCCATCCATCATCCATCCATCATCCATCCATCATCCATCCATCCACTGATCTCTCTCAGCTCTTCATTTTCTTCATCTCTTTCAGATCCACAGGAAGATGTTCCTTGAACTACAAGCTGCAGAGATCCTTCACTAACCATCACAGCGCCCCCCCCCTCCCCCCACCTCTATCCTTGCAGCAGAGACTCTAACTTAGACTGAAACAGACTTAAATGTCATTTCATATACACAGAGCGTATATAAAAGGAAATGTTGTTCAGTACAGCTCTCCAGACATTTTCATTTTCAAAGTGCAGAAGTAATTAAATGTAAACATACGACTGTATATGATTTAAAGTTTTTTTTTTATATAAATCCCATTTTATCATCAGTTCATCAGTGTGATGGCGGTGGGGAAGAAGCTGCTGCAGAACCTGCTGGTCCTGCATTGAATGCTGGGAAGCCTCTTCCCAGAGGGCAGCAGGGAGAACAGTCCATGGTGGGGGGGTGAGGGGTCATTGATGATGTCACGGGCTCGGGACACGCAGCGCTGGGATGAAATGTCTTTAATGGAGGGAAGAGGAGCCCCCATGATCCTCTCTGCTGTTCTCACCTTCTTCCAGTCTGAGGCGCTGCAGCCTCCACACCACACAGTGAGACAGCTGCTCAGAACGCTCTCTATGGTGCTTCTGGAGAAGGTGGGGAGGATGGGGGGGGCAGGAAGTCCAAGCGCTTCTGGGCCCTTTGGACCAGTGAGGTGGTGTTTCCAGTCCAGGTGAGGGTGTCTGTGATGAATGACCACCTCTACAGCTGAGCTGTTGATGAGCAGTGGAGCGTGGTTAGGACGGTTCTTCCTGAAGTCCACCATGATCTCCTTGGTCTTCTCCACCTTCAGGATCAGGCTGTTATCTCTGCTCCACCAGCTGCTCCACCTCCTCTCTGTAGTCCAGGTCGTTGTCGTCTCTGATGAGGCCCACCACCGTGGTGTCGTCTGCAAACTTCACCATGTGATCGGTGGTGAACCTGGGGACGCAGTCGTGTGTCATCAGGGTGAACGGCAGGGGGCTCAGGACGCAGCCCTGAGGTGAGGGGCTGATGACATCAGAGGTCCGACCCGGACTGACTGAGGTCTGTTGGTGAGGAAGTCTAGCAGCCAATAGCAGAGGGGTGTATTGAAGCCCAGCTGTTCCAGTTTGCCCATCAGATGCTGTGGGATGATGGTGCTGAAAGCTGAACTGAAGTCCAGGAACAGCATCCATCGTGGGTGTTCTTCTTTTACACAGAACAAAAATCATATTTTAGTTCAGCTTCATTATTTAGTTTATTTTTAGTTCTCCTGCTTCAGGTGACTCTGACCCACATGGGTCTGAAAGGACTGGTTTCACAGCAGCAGCTCTTTGGTTTGTTTCTCCTCTGAAGGGTCAGACTGACCTCAGTCGCTCCTTTAGGCTGAAATGAATTATAATTTAAATCTTCCATCTTTATGGTCTGTTTTGTCTGAATTAGCTGTTAGATGTTGCAGCAGGTGGGAGGAGTTTCTCAGTGGAAAGAAAACCAGTCTGTTTTAAAGGGTGTTGGTGTAACATCTACTGACATCTGGTGGTCAGAGTGAAACATAGCAGCCATGTTTAACGTTGGTCCTCCTCCGCCTGTTATCCAGTTTCTGCTGGACATAAACAGCCTGTTTCTCTGAAAAATGGTCCTGCAGAAGAACTGGGTGAGATTTTAGCTGCAGCAGCAAGATAATTTTAAAGCTTTAGGAGATAAATCATTCAATAAAATGATTTCAAAATGCAGCATCAGTGAACGGATTCAGTCCCGTCTGCAGATCAGATCATCTGCCTCCCTCAGGTCCAGTTTCCTGCCATCATGGTGACCCTTTCAGCCTGAGGCTTCGCTCACATGGCTCCTGCTCACACTGTCTGCTGGGTCAGAAAACAGATGCATGGAGAGAAAACTCAGTCCTAAAGGAACTGCATGGAGACATTTCTTCTCCAGCACCCTGGGTGTGAACAGAGACTTTTGACATGTCTTTGTCTGCAGGCGCGTGGCACTCCCACCCGGCAGCAGCTGTGGTTAAATCCAGGCTCTGACTTCAGCTCTTTGCTCCTTCAAACATGTTCGCGTGTCTGAAACCGCAGCGCTGAGCAGGATGGGGAGCAGATTATAAGAGAGAAAGAGCCGCTCCCTTCAGCCCAACATGCAGGGAGAATCCACAGAGCCGCTCCTGCTTGGAGGGAGGATGTCCTGCAGGACGGGAGGGGCCTGCTGGGGCCTCTGTGGGCTTCAGGGCCGCTAAAGGCCACTGAGGACATGCATCTCTGCAGCGTTGGCCGACGATCTGACTGATCATTGATCATCTTTACTGATTAAAATCCAGCGTCAGGGAACCAGTTCCCCTGCAGCTGATAGCGGAGCCTCAAACTAACAGCCCCTCATCTTTAAGAAAGAAAAATCTAAATACTAAAGCTGGAAATGTGCTGCAGACTTTTAGCTAAGATGCATTTCAGATGGAAGCAGCTCCAGAAAACAAAAAATGATTTTGTTTCCTCCTCTCTGCTCCTCAGGGCCCTGAATCGCTCCTGCTGACGTCACTTTAAAAATATCAGAGAATTATAAGATCCTTCTAAGAATGTTTCCTTGGCAAGATGGAAGTTATTCACAGACGGAGCAGCTTTGACCTTCAGTCAACCTAAGAGGGTCTGAAGCAGAGAAGATGGAGGCAGGGGCGGAGTTAGGAAATGTGGGGCCCTAGGCGAAGACAGGCAGGGGCCCCTCTGAATGGAGAACATCAAACAGCCCCATTCTCCAGATATAGAAATGTTAATAGAATAGACATCCATTATCTGTTCTAGGTTGTGTCCCTCTCTTCTTGTCCCTTTTCTTCTTGTTTTCCTCTCTATGTTTTGTACTCAGCTGACTTTTCATGCTGTCTCTAAAGGAATGAAAGATTTTTTCCAAGCACTAAGCTCACTTAGCTGATTGCTCCTTCCTGTGTTTCCAAAAAGGCCAAAGTAAATAACCCAGTCCTTCTTTTCACTGTAGACAAGCCATGATCTGCTTATCTGTTCTCCATTTTTCATTTGGATGAAATAATAGCTGCATGAATCATGACAGCAGACAAGATAGAGGAGAGCAGGAGGCGGGGTTACCAATCTACTCGCTCTGGAGAGCAGAGTTCGCTGCTTTTAGATGTTGTCTCCAAAGTCTCCAGTAGCAGAAAAAAGTCTCTAGATTTGGCGCTAGGAGCTTTTTAGAAATCAAAGTGCTAGAGGGGTCTGAAAAGTGGCTAAATATAGCGACTAAAGCGCTAAGTTGGCAACACTGCTCTTTGCATGGTTTGTTTTCAAATGGTTTGCTGCTGTCTGTTTGGACCTTTCTGAACATGTGCAGCAAATGGACTGATCCAATATGGTGGACACTGAAGGGGGGGGCTGAGACACACTTAATATTATCAGCGTTCTGATGACATTTTAGCAAAAGGATTTTTATCAGAAACATAATTAACTAATACTTATAGTGTGTGGCCAGTATTTATCTGTTTAATGAAGTTTGTTAGTTTATCAGTCAGCAGTGGTCTGATCAGTTTCCCTCATGTCTTCTTAGGTCAGTTTGTGCTTCAGTTCTTTGTGTCAGAACCTGAATTATCTGTTGTGTTGACGTCTGTTTTTGGGCCCAGTTGATCAGTTTTTGAAATAAATTAAGACCTTTTTTTCAGTGGTTTTCTGGCTGGTTTGTGCAAATCCCTCACATATCTACAATTACATATATATATATATATATATATAGATATATTTGTTTATTATACTTATGAACATCAAGGCCAAAGAGTAATAAATTATTTATTATATATTTGTAATACTTTAGAATTCAAACTAATAAATGTTTTGTCTTTTAAACCTAAATTCTTGATGAAGATGATGATGGTGATGAAGATGATGATTAAGAAGATGATGATGGTGATGAAGATGATGATTATGATGATGATGATGGTGATGAATATGAAGATGGTGATGGTGATGATGAAGATGATGATGAAGATGATGATAAAGATGATGAAGATGATGAAGATGATTATGAAGATGTTGATGGTGATGATGATGTTGATAATGAAGAGGATGATGACGATGATGATGAAGATGATGATGGTGATGAAGATGGTGATGGTGAAGATGATGAAGATGATGATGGTGATGATGATGTTGATTATGAAGAGGATGAAGATGATGATGATGAAGATGATGATGATGGTGATGATGATGATGATGTTGATTATGAAGAGGATGAAGATGATGATGATGAAGATGATGATGATGGTGATGATGATGATGTTGATTATTAAGAGGATGAAGATGATGATGATGAAGAGGATGATGATGATTATGAAGATGGTGATGATGATGATGAAGTTGATGATGAAGATGATTATGATGAAGATGATGATAAAGATGGTGATGATGATGATTATGAAGATGATGATGGTGATGAAGATGATTATGAAGATGACGATGATGATGATGATGATGATGATGATGATGAAGATGGTGTTGATGATGATGATGAAGCTGATGATGATTATGATGATGAAGATGATGATAATGGTGTTGATGATGATGATGATTATGATGATGAAGATGATGGCGTTGATGATGATGATGATGAATATGATGATGATGAATATGATGATGATGAAGATGATGGT